CACCCGCCGTATCAGCTCGAGGGAAAACCGGCTCGCTTGGTCTATCGTTCCACGCACCTGCCTATTTACTTGCCATTGTGCAGCTTCTCGCGCGGGCCTTATATTCATAATTTCGGTGACGCTCGACCTGAGTCACGCCGAGAGAACGAAAGTCCGGAGCGTCGTTCTTCTTTTTCTCCAGATGACTCCGTGCGCCTGGAATGCCTTTCGAGTTTTTTTTTTCTTTTCTTCTTCTCTCAACCTCGTTACGTTTCCCTCGGTTTTCACCTGCCTTCCCGATCGGCCTAAATTAACAAGGCTCGCCACGGTTTCAATCGTTCAAACGAGCGCTCGACAAAGGCATTCCTTGGCTTGTGGAATGGTATCGCGGCGAACCCGTCGAGCTTTCCACGCGAAGGAGCATCCGAGTCGCGCGGGCAGATTCACGAGCGCTCGGCGCGTCGCGGAATAAAGTGCGGAGTTGGCGTCGGCTCCGGAAAGGTGGCGCGGCGCCGAGCGCGCGCGACAATAGCCGGAAAGTCGGCACTATCCCGCGACTGTCTGTCTGACTGGCGCTAATTAACCGAAGCGACCCCCCCCCCCTCCCCCCTCCCGGCCAGATCGTAATTGTTTTAGATGCGCGCCGCGCCGACTCGCAATTCCCTCGCTGTTTTTCTCGCGCTGACGGCGTTATCAGAGCCAATTACGTCGCTTTCCAACTCCACCGACTCTCCAACCGTGAGCGAGACGAGCGCGCGATTTCGTTGGACGCGCGACTGGAAGGAGGAGATTTGGCGGCCCGAGCGCGACTTCCGCGAGCCTGCTGCTGCCGCCGCGTCCGAACGGCAAGGGTGCTCCGGGTTTCGCGCCTGATTTTTTTCTTCTTTTTCTGCCCTACTTCGAGTCTCAGTCGGGCGTTAACCACTCGAGAGGGCGCTGAGATTGTTTTTTTTTTTTTTTTTCAACTGCTTGCCGATTGAAGTGCGCTCGTATTTCCGTGGCAAAAAAGCTCCTTGCCGGCACGTACGCGAGTTTCACGCGTATCCGCGCAGATACGAGCTCAGGGGAAAAAAATGGTCGGCCTCTCGAATGAAGAGCCAGCGGAATCTCGGTCTTTGCGGCACGGACAAACCTCCGCGAAAGAGCTTTGGAGAACGGTGGAAATCTGCAGCGGCACCAGCGCGCCTCGTTACACGACGAATCCGTTTTGCTATTTCGCCACGCGAGGCTTGTATCGCACCTAAAATCGATCTACGCGCGATCCTCGCGAAGAAAACGAAGAAAACAAGATCGGAACAGTCGAGGAAACAACAAGACGAGGGGCCGCGAACGAGGCTGACAAAGGAGAAGCTCCGAAAAGAAGCGAAGTTGCCGCGGGGAGGAGCCGTCAATCCTCGGCGGCAGCGCGTGGAACCTACAAAGCGTGTCGAAGAGGAAAAAAAAAAGAGCGCCGCTGCCGCAGCGTCGGGGAGAGAGCTTCCCCCCAATCGGCCGTTGTAATCCGCGCCCCGTCGTTTCTCCCCGACGTATAGGTATAAATAGACGCAGTGGGCCCCGCTCGCGACGGCGCCGGGCGCGGGCAGGTAGTGCGCCCACGCGCACCTGGGCTCGCGCGCACTCCGCTCTACTCCCCTCTGCGGCCGCACGGGCCATCTGCTCCGTTGTGTTGCGGCCCCGCGCGCGGCTAACTTTCTCACCGAGCCCCCAAATACACTAGCTCAGCTGACGATTTCCAGACGCGCGCGTCTTGCACGTATATAGCCGTGATTTCATCTCTCGGTGTGTCTTCTTTTTTTTCTTTCCTTCAAGGGTAAAGCGCATCTCCAGCTCGGGGATCCAACGCAGCCAATCACGAAGAGCGTAACACTTCAATCGAGCTAATTCAATTTGTCCCCGGGTAAGTCGTCAACTTTCGCATGAGGACCGTCGCCCAATTAAACTCTGCCCCGTCTCGTGCGCGCTACAGCGTCGCTCAATGTGAAACGAAATCCTTTCAATCAGCGACGCTCTGCCAATTCAACGCGCTACCCACGCATTCGGTGTAGCTATCAACGACGGCGTTCAACGAGGCCCTCTCGCTGAAATGATCAATTCATACTCGGAATCCCGAGACTCCTTCGTATTAGACGCGCACTGCCTTGGCCGTCGAGATGCGAAAGAGTATAAAGCGCGAGGCACGTTAAAGAGGGGCTGTTAAATCGAAACGACGAGGAAAAAGAACGAAGGCACGCCAGTGATTCGACGGCGTAGCCGCGCCCAACTTTTGCGATGTGATCAGTTGATTCGCGCGCTCAAATACGCTCTTATTCTGCTCGCAGCCTCAACTCTTATCGGTTAATTCAAGTGTACGGCCGTCCGCGCCCCACGCGCTCGTCTACGCGACCGTGCTCTCTTTGTTCCTATTTAGAGAGAGAGAGAAAGAGAGGGAAGACGAAGGCCGCCGTCGTACCTATTCAACTTTTTTTTTCCTCAAGCTGCCTGCTGTTATTATTTCCGAGGACCGGCTTGGTTACGTACAAATACCGGTTCTACACGAATTTCCAAATTACGTAGAACATAGCGCTTTTCTATCGAACGTGGAAAATAAAAATACTATTTTCTCAACAATTTAATCATTATTTGACGTTATATCTTTCTAAAGAAAAATTAACGAGTAATCGACGTAAAATATTTATTTTAAACATCATCGTACAGATAATCATCTTTCAATAATGGCTAGAATCATAAACATAAAACTCGTTCAAGTGATTATTCTTTCTTGTAGAAATTGCGTTTAGAATACTTTGCATCAATTATTTTCCAAACGAATTTTCTACGGACAGCTTACACGTTCGACTGTATCGAACAAAAACAAATCGCACAGCATCGGTACCTATGTGGAAAAAGGAACCCGGCCTTTCCGAGAGGACCTCGTTATTAAGCGGTTTCAGCGACCACAGGTATATTTCGTAAAAATCGAGCGCTTTTGTTTTTCGCCAAGGCACAAAAGAGAGGAGGTTTCAGTTTCCGACGAACCCGATTGTTACTCTTTTTTTCTTTTACGATATAGCAGTTTTCGTTGACTTTCCCATCCGCGCGAACGATTTATCGCCTCAAGAAGCTATCGCACTTTACAGTGCCTCGTAACATTTTCAAGTGTTTTTTTTTTCTAACGGTCCGACACGCTCCATACTCGTAAAAGAAAAATAAAAGAAAATACGCCGCTAAAAGGCACGTCGCCGATTGTTTTATTGCACGGCGATGGTTCTCGAGCGAAAATGATTATAGAATAGGCAGTCAAGTGACGGTTAGCGAGGCGCCAATGAAATAAACAGCTGACACTCGATTCGAGTGCGAGCACTCGAACGTAAACTGCAATTTGGCCGGTGATGGGGGGTGCTCACGTGTAAATAATAGCAATATAACGAGCCGGGAGGGAGGGGGCCTCGCGAGCCACGAATGTCCGCACGTCGTCTCTGTTATTGTTTGCTCTCGACGTGATTGACTGATTTGGCTCGGCTGAATGCCACTTGCTTTAGTTTTTAAGCGTCGCTTGTCTCTTCGTTGATCAGCGCCCGCAAGCTAGACGCGCGTCAGTGCGAGCTTACTAATCGTAGGGCTTTTGCTATCGCGAGCAAAGCGAAAGTGTTTTGCGAGCGATTCTGCGCGTGCACTTGACTGCCTTGCGCCTATTTGTCGCTGATTCTATTACGCGGAGCGGCATTTTGCCCCTGTGACCCCGGAGGAAGAGAGAAAATGCGCAGCCAGAGAACTAATGCCGCGAAGCCTTACTGGCGACTGAAACGATTGGCTTTTAAAATCGCATATTGTGCCTCGCGCCTGACAATCTCACTAATGCAAATAGTTTCCTCGTTAGTTCAGTGCAACGGAAACGATGTATTTCGAATGCTTGTCACGAGGGCGAAAATCAGTGGCATCTCGAGTTTCGACAGGGGGAACAAGGCGAGTGGAGGAGAACAGTTGACGGCGTGCATGGGAAGAAGATCGTGTTGTCGGTTCCAGACTCTTGCACTGCCTTTGCCCATGTCAACTTCGGCTTTGGACTTTCGAGCAAGTGGCACTTTTCGAATTGAGCGCGCGTCTCTATTCTTTGGCCGCTCGCTAAGTCGCGTCAGATACGTTCGAGTCCCGTACGACGAAACTCCAGATCGCAATTGTCCTCTCCTCTCTGTACTTGTCTGTCGTTGATTACGCACCGTTACACATACGTCTAAGGGAGTGTCGGCGCGACCAAGTTACATCGTGGTCAATTGTCCGACGAATCAAACGTGATTTAGCAATGATTTCAATGTCGCGCACGCCCGCTGCTTATTGTTTTCGCTCACTCTGGTCTCTCCTCTCATGAGTAATGTTCGCGCGCGCGTGTGTATTTACCGCATGTTGATCTCCATTACGTCCGACTCGCAGCAATAGCATGGCTGTCGTTTGCGCTAATTGAGCACAATTTTGCCGAATTTACCAGGCTTTACTCCGAAGATGATGATTGACTGCCGCGGCATAGAAAGCGTCGTCTTTCATTCTCACCCGCTCGCTTTTTCAATTGTGCCAATGAACGATTTTTTATTACTTTTGTTTTCTTTATTTTAGAGATAGACTATGTCGTAAAACAATTATCTTTGCACGCTAAGAATAAGTCAAAAAGGTGCAGTTTTTATATTGGAAAGATGTCGGAGACACAAAAGATCGTTAAGAATTAGTTTTGTTTTTGGTCCATGAGTCAAACTCTCAGCGTGCAAAGAAAAAGAAAAAAAAAAGAGATAATATTGCAAAGATAAATTTGAAGAAACAATTAAAGTGAAAAACGAATATTTCCGTTAAGGAAAACACGCCAAGGAGTTTAAGAGCCAAGACATTCTTGCTCGACCTAGTATTGTTTTCATTACACTTGGAAAAGTCGCACGAATGTTATTTCCGCGAAAAGAATGAATAGACAGTATGTAGGTTGCGTAAACAAAAACAAAGCACGAAAGCGAAATACTTGTAATACACGAATCAAGGTATAAACGTGTGAATGAACTAACCGGTTGCCGTAACAGTCCCACCGAGGCAGCATACAAAACCAAGGATCACGGTAACCTGCACGACAAGGCTCCTGCTCATTCGTCTAGGTTGTTCGTCCCCCGGACAGAGTCCCTTCCCTGGCTTCTTGCCCATTCTTCCTTTTTTTCTCTTTCTTCGTCGCACTAACACTTTGGCCCGCGCACTCGCGCACCTTCTTGTTTTGTGTTCTTCTTGCGCTGAGAAGAGGTTTGACACAATCGGAAAAATTTTACGTAGGGCACAATAGTAGAGCACCACCGATCGTGATGGAAGCTGCTGCTGCTTCGAGGCTACACCAAGCAAACCGGCGGCGCATCTTTGCGAAAATTCTTATCTCTCACTTTTCTTTCTCGAATGGCACGAAAATTGTGCAGGTGTGCATAGACCACTGTTGTTATCGCTTGGCTGTTATCAGCCGAGCGATAATCACGTTGCTCGTCCACGCATACATGCGGTTGTACGGAGCTTCGTTTAACTTTAATTTGCCCGAGGACGACGGACAAAAATGCCGTGGCGTCGTTTAAGGGCAAAGGTACTCTCTATGTGTCGAGTAACGCACGGACTGTAGCGTATTAGCGTGGAAGAGCGTATATATGAAACCGTATAGAGAGTGTAAGGTAGCAGGCGCTGCTGGCCCCTCTCGCGCAGGCAGGTAAGCGAAAGGCACAGAGAGCGCGCTCACCTGGTAGCCACTATACAACCTGGCAACCCTGTGCTCACAACTCAACAACTTCCACCGTCCTTGTTTCTCGATCTTCGATCAACACTTGCCAACTCGCGCAATGTTGAATAACCGCACTGTAATTGCACTTGCGACTAAATAACAGACTTTTAAAGCGTCGATCGTGCGTCAGTTAAAAAACGCGCTCGGGCCCGTGCGGCAACGACTCGCGCACACCACGCTACTCGCTGGTCTGCCGTACTGTAGCGTAGTGTACACACACACGGCCTGAGGAATGCAACTGACTTGAGCCTGACTGCGCGCATGACCGGACGACTGCCTCTCTCCACCAATCCCCGGCGACGCCGCCATCCACCACCTATGTATACCTTTCTTGTGCCTTGCCGCGAGGGGAGTGCCTGACAGTCAGAGTACCTTCACTACCGATTGCTCCTTATGCGATCTATAAACACATATGAGCTTGAATGAAAGTGACGAGCTTTACCATTCGTGACGATATCGTGAATGGATGATTTGAAAACATACTAAAGACATCTACCGATTACCGCGTGTATTAATCTTGTATTTTTTAGTGTTACTTATCGATCAAGTTTTTCCCCTTGAACACGTGGGTTCAATGATTTTTTATATTCTTTAACTAATAGCACATTATAGTTCATAATCAATACAGGAAATTTCATGCCAAAATTGAGGGATGGAAAAATTCGATGAAAATGTGTCAGGAATAATGTAAATAGATGACCTATATAAAACGTAACTCCAGATTTGCATCAGTTTTTTTTTATAAGAGGTCAAAGTTTGCACAAACAGGTTTTTCAAGTCTGCAAGCCACGGTATATATTTTAGATGAATATTGCAGAAAAACGAAAAAACTGAAATCGCGTGTTCAAACTAATGCGGTCAGAAGAATTGAACATATCTCACTCAATCATGCATCAATTTAAGTATTTTTTTGTTAATCTGAGGTAGTTTCAAGAATTATGAATAATGACGTGCTTATTAATAATTTACATATATTGCCACTGGATGAACATCTTCATCGTAACTTTTGTAAGAGCTGAGAATTAATAAAAGAAAATACCTAACTCGGCTCTTGTTAATCGCCAATATACATTTTTTTAAATCTCCGATAAGAATCTACCTATCTCAATTGTAAAGTTTCAAATTTCTATAATGTATAGGGAAGCCTCAAATTTATGTATTTATAACGTGAAAAGCATTGATATTTTTAAAGTTTAAAATAAGGGATTGAAATTAAATTTTCAACACTCCGTGCGCAATTTTAACATGCGTTGAAAATCGCACTTTCCACACGTCGTATCAAAAAATACGATACGGCACATGTTCTCGCTTCGCTCGCGCGTAAACGCCATACGAGACAAGAATCTATTTTCCTGCAATTGTATCGTAATGTACTATTTTTCAATCGCCACTAGTAACATTAAAATTGACTTTTTGACAAACAAATGCACCGTTTTAGAATTCAATCTCTTCGACTAAAAAAATTACAGCTACATACTTTAGCCACCACTTAGTTAACTAGATTTATTAGTTAGAATATCTAAACAACTAAGTAACATATTCAATCGCACAAAGGATCATTTTATTTAGAATTATAAGAGCTTTATCTTAGCATCAATAAAAATTTAAAAAATGAATTTTTGCAATAAATATTCCATGTTAGAAATGGCCATTTTTGGTTATTGGTGCTTTTTGTAATAACTAACGAACAGAAATAATCGCGCAATGGTTTACATTGTAGCTTTTCAATTTATTTACAACTTATATCTGCAACATTTTCATCTGAAATATATACCGTGATTTGCAGACTTGAAAAACTTACTTTTGCAAACTGACTTATGAATAAAAATTGATGTAAAATTCAAGTTGCATTTTATATATGTCATCTAGTTACATTATTCCTGACGCATTTTCACCGAATTCTTTTATCCCTCAATTTTTTAACGAAACGATTACTTTTTGTCTATATTGATTAGACTATTACTGACAGATCAGGAGTCATCAATAGTCAATATCAATTTTAGATTTTTAAAAATTTTTTTAAAATCAATATTATATGAAATAAAAGTTTGTATTCAGTTTAAGAATAAAAATAATTCTCCTTGATGCTTTTCAAACGTTCATATAATAACTTAATATAAACTATGGATGAAAAATTTAATCATAGTGAAATGGAGTATGATTAGTCAATGTAAAATCTTAAGGCATTATTTACGTATTGACATTTATTCAAGATGCATTCAACACCTTAAGTGTCAAAACGCTTTTTTTTAATTTTTATTATAAGATTAACTTAAAAGAAGAATCCAAGAATTTTGCCTCCCAAATGTTTTCTCCTGGCCTCCTCGTGGTCCATGATACCACCACTTGTGGTTAAAACAACATATCTAAACAGACAAATATTCTCTTAAGTCACAACACTTAATTAATTGTTAAATAATTTAAGATTGTACATAAGGAAAATGTAATAGATTAACTCACCCAAACTGACGACTTGGAAGAAGATTGTTGGTCCACTTCTCAATGTCATTGATGGGAACATCAAATCTTGGTGAAATAACACCGCATTTGTTTAACCTTCCAGTAAGGTTAACAACAACCTTTCCACTCCTGTGGTCATCAACAATTTCAAATTCACCTATGTAACCTGAAAAAACATTTGTTTATTGCTTTCTTTGGAATTGTCTTTATAAATTTTATTATAAATATTAATTAGTAAATCTTGAATACTTTTATTCTAATATTTAGATGACAGAAAAATTATTTCACATGTTTATGTATAAATTTTGGCATATACATTTATGTCATACAACAAACTTAGAATATGAAGAGTATGAAAAGTTTATATTTTGATGTCTGTCTTAATTTTTTGTAATACAGTTAATTATTGATTTAAGTAAACTAATCATGCCTTATTAACTAAGACAGCTGCAATATACATTATTTTTAAATAATTTATAAGTGTATTACTCTTTAAACTGGCACTACTAATGTGCATTATTGAGTAGTAATACTGTATAGTGAAAATGAAAATATTACTCACCATGCTTCATCATTACTGTAAGAAATTTTACTATAACTTTTGAGCAAGGGCGAAGAAGCACCTGCCTCTTGCCTCGCTTTTCAGCATTGTTGATTGATTTGAGGGCATCACTCAGTACATTCATACGCACCATGGCTGTCAAAATAAAAAAAATTAATCAATACTATGATTATGCTGCTAATAATTTCTTAAATAATATCAAAAAGATTTAATATTTCCTGGTAAAATCATTTTAAAATAAACCAAAGTAACCTAACTTGTCAGCTGATTTTATTCTAAGATAATTAAAAGACAAAATCTATAAGATAGTTTAAATTAGTAAAAACTGAAATTAATACATGTGTTTCAGTAGAATACTTCAAAGGAATAATTGTATTAATTAATAAAAAAAACTAAACATCACTAAACAGACACTGTTGCGGCTAACATAACCTTAGTTTATAAATAAACGTATAACAAAAAAACAGTAATTTACAGATAAAATAAGGTTTGCACTATAAAATTGAAACTTTAACACATCAGCAGTTACATAAATTTTGTCTTAGTAATTGTTGATTTCGTTGATTACCTGTGATGAAAATTTATTTATCACAGTGACATACACGCTCGACAATACCCGAGGTAAAAGGAGTCCATTTTGTTTCCAGTTCCGTATAGTTCGTAAGCTTGTCATGAAACTGCGAATCAAATCGGTTTGTGACGAGGCAAGCATGAAATTTAAAAATATCGCCAATTATTTGTAAAATTTCGTCTTTGTCCATTTTTATTAAAATTAAAAATTAAACACTTAATAAATGATAATATTTTATTTAAAAAAGTTAAATTTTTTAAAATACTTTTCTTTTTGTGTTTAAAAACTTGCATATTTTATCATCATTTGTACCAATATGTATAACAATTTTTGTATATAAGTATAAGTATATATGAAACTGTAAGCGCTAATAGAATAAATTAATTTGATTATCCATCATCAACAGAAATATTATATGTGTAATATTAATAGTATTAATTAGTCCTTGATAAGTCAATAAGCCTAAATTTAATAAAGCACAAAATCAAATATCCGCAATGAAGTCAGTAAAAATTCTACATTCGCCGGAAAAAGTAATATGAATCTCAAGGAAAAGACAGAGAAATAACGATAAGAAATTTCTAACTGCCACAGTGTCGTGTTACAAATGAGAGAAGCGTGCTTACCACTCCAGTTGGTCAGTCGTTAGTGTGAAATTGTATTACACAGACGTGAGTTTATTCCAGTGAACAAAAAATTTTTTAACGTATACGCGAAAAGGATTTAAGAACAAAGAAATCACTTATTGAGTGCAAAGCATTTGTTTGGGCGCACTGATGGAGTGTAATATTAATTTACAAAAAGATGGTCACCATGAAGATTGTGTTGAATAGAAATAGAAACACGAGAACAGGTATTACTCGCTCAAATTTTGGATTACTTGTTATTCACAGCCAAGTCCTTTCATCGGAAACTGCTGCAAATAATCTTTGGTTATAAATCTACTTTTAGTAATCACCACAGATTTTGAGCAACGATTACTTTTTGTGGACAACTATTCACAACAACGCTCTCGTACAGCTACCAGCTCGGTTTTGAATGAGAGAAACGATTCATTTCAAGAATGTTTGAGAAGACCAACAAACCGATTTATTGCAGATAGAAAATGCTTCAGCAGAACGGTATGTAGTTATAATGTTGTGTTTTTGTTGAGGCTGTTCTCAATAAGCGTAGGCAAAGAAAGAGAGAAAAACCTTTTTGACATTCTATTAACCTCCTCAGAAAAAAATAAACGGTCAACAGTGCTATTAGACAAAGTGAAAAGCTCGCATTCGCTAGGAATTGTTTCTCATGCAATTTTGTTTTCATAAACACCTAGATATACTCCTAAATAAGAATAAAGAGTTTTCCGGACCAAAATATCGAGCAAAATCGTTTAAACAAATTTTGTTGTTAACAACCGCAAAAATAGTTTTTTTTATTCTAATAATTTTTGTTGGTACTTGGAACCATTCTAAATCGAAAGGATATCGTTATTTTTTCGTAAAGTTGACCGTTCTCGAGTTATAAATAATTGTCCGTTTGAAAAAGTGCTAAAACGATCATTATCGAGACTGAAAAGCAATATTTACAAATTAAAATTTTGAATTTACCAAAGTTCTCAATAAATCTTACAATGTCCCTTGACAAAATCCTAAAGAGCATTGAGAACTTGCAATAGTCTCTAGTTTTATTTTTAATTATTGAATAGACTCTCTGATAGCGAGCACTGCGTGTTCGGCCGTGATTTATACTGTCGGCTGAACTATGAGTATCTTATAAGTTCTTAATACTTTCCTTTTGCGTATATTTTAGATAAATTTAATAAACAAATTCAATCATTTTTAAATTGACAAATAATTTATTTCACCATATGCTCACGTTTATCTATATTCAACCACAAATATGCACGCGTGACATTATTTTTTTACAATAACATGTTTGGATTTTGCAAGTCTGTACATTTGCATTCAAATATAAGATTTTCAGGTACTCAATTTCTTAAATTAAATCTAGGTAACAACGGACCCATTTTTACGCACACAATTTTTACTAATTTTTTAAAATATATCTTGAAAATTAACAAACAAATGTTAACATATTAATATGTCAAATGACAGGTCTTTTTAATACCTACAACTTTTCCATTGAACAATTTTCGATTAGAACAATAGTTTTCGAAATATTCTTAAAAAAAACAGTTTTTTTAACTTTGTGATTTTTCTAAAAGGTCCTTAAGGAGCAATAGAGTTAAAAAAATGAACCTCATTATTTTTTCGTCCCCTATGACCATACTCCTTTTGGATAAATTTTCCGCTTTTCTCCCGCACCCTCTTGTGTTAAAAATGAAAAGTTCTCCGGTCAGGAACTCACTGCGCGCGAAGATACGAATTGAAAAATGAAACGACAGCTGAGGTTATAAGTAAAGTAGAATATAATGAAATATTCCCTTTGTTTTAAAACTTAACTGAATAATAAATAAAACAAACAGGATAATCAAATTTAGCACAGAAATGTTGTTAAAATTAAAAATACGTTTAAAGGGTGTAATTAACTTTTTTATACTCGCTAGACGAATTAATGCAAATTTATTGAAAAATATAGATTCTTTTTAGGTTATATTGTTCCGACTTTTCAGCGGCCATTAATTTTGCGCGTGCACTCCAGCTGAATTTTTCCAACTATTCGTTATTTTAAATGGGAGGTATGAAGAATATTTTGAAAACGAATTTTTTAAGTTCAGCAGTTGATTAAAGTGTTATATAGAGGATAATTTTCTGGTCAAGCTGAAAAATAAATAGGTACAATGCATGTCGATTAAAATTGATTGAGAGTGCTGAAATGTTTAAAATGAAAGGAAAATATTTTACAGATTATTAATTAGTGAATGATGGTTGATTATTTATCCTAACAAATACAAACTGTATAAAGAATTTTTTGTTATATTCCGTCTTGAAGAAATTCTAAATTTACAAGTGACCAACTTTTACACTGTTTTAAAGGCACTGAGGAAAAAGATCTTTTTTTCCAATCATATTTTGAACAAGAATAGATTATCTTGTAATAAGAGGTAGTTCTTTTTCAGACTATTTCGAAAAGATTGCTTTACAAGATTTGTTCAGTGTAAAATATTACTCATTACTTTGCTATTTATTTTCGAATATAGAGAAATAAGCTAATAATTATAAATGAGTTTTTAATGATTTGCTCAACGTTTCGTGTAAAACTCATGAGGATCACGATTTTTTCCGAACCAAACAATAATTAGCCATTCTCTGCGCTTAAAATTTTTGATTTTACTAAAGACGAGCCTTATTATCGTTTGCGAAATTAATCAGCGGTAAAAATATTGCTTATACAGGTTCCAAAGCCAAGGAGGTATCGGATGAAGAAACGATTGAGGCAAGACATAGCCATTATAAGAACAAAGTTTGCCCGGCTATCAGTGAACGTTTCAACGGATAATTCAGAGGTATGCACATGAGAAAAATGGCAATAAAAGTTTTAGATACGTTGGGCTAGGAAATTTAATTGGCTGTTTGATCGATGTTACGTACAGGATGAGAGAGTTAAAAATAAAATGGAGCCCAGCGCGATCCAGCTGCGAGAACCAGTTTTACGGGTAATTTTCGATTTTCCTTCATTATGTCATAATCTCGATGGATGACACAACTGTAGAATTCACGATATATATGAATGATTGAAAATATTTGGAACGTCTCGTACAGTTTTCGAGAAGCTACGAAGAAGCGTCGTCGCCGAGCGTCAGTACCACTCCGTCTATTTCCATCATCAAGAAAGCGGATCCGTTAAATGAGTCGTTGATTCGAATGTATAGCTGCAGAATGTGCCCGAACTTCGCACTACCAGAAGTGCATGAATGCTCGTCCGGCCACCTGATATGCAACGAGTGTTGGTTGCTGTCAAGTCATTGCGCCTTGTGCGTTGACAAGAACTCCGACGAGAACACGAGGTGCAGTGATTCGGGCACCTTCAGACGCATCTATGGCTTGGAGAAGATCGCTTCGTTGTTATTGTTTCCGTGCCGTTGGCGGGATCGCGGATGTTTTGAGTCGTTCGGTCCAAGGGCCTGGCGTGATCACGTCGACTCGTGTCGGCACACCAAAATACAGCTGACTTCGCACATCTCTGCGTCCCAATAGTGCAACAACGAATGGTTGGATTACGTAGACAATGTAGTTGAGCTTTAGTTTCGGGTAAGGTCTTGGTTGTCTTTTACGTTATTGTTGTACCTTTCTTTTTTGGTCCGAGCGTACAGGAAATCGACAGTGAACGAAACTGTTGACCTGCACTTTTAGGATGCACTCGTTCGGCTTTTTGTCGCGGGTAGACTTTACCTTCCTTCGTAAAACGAAGGTGAAAAACATTTTATTCTATGTCGATTTTATGTCACCCTCAAACTGAGAAAATTTGGTTTTTGGTGCACCCAAATCATGTCGGTGATATATAAATAAGTCACTTGGTTTTTCTTTACGCTTACGGCTACTTTACATTCTTACTTAGTTTAATCACATATCAAGAATAGAATACAAAACTCCACACCTGATGTCGATGGCCAGTGTGTACGTTGCTACGAAATCGATAAACTTACTACATCTTCATTCAAGTTACTGCTCACGAATCGATATCTGGCATCCAAATTCAATCGTATTTTATATTTTTTCTTTTGCATTACAAGTAGTACAAAAATTGGTATGGTCGGGCAGCTGCATTTTTGCATGCGTGCTACGTCATGTCAATCTTCTACCAAGTATAATAAGTAGTGAAAATCTGTAATAATCAGCCGAGCGCATCTTTAAGCTAAAAACAATTCTTTTTTTTTGTTACATTCTTGAATCATTATAATTAAAATAAATAAACATTTATATTAATACAACATAACATTTGTCCTAGATATATTTTCTTGTTTCCAGAACAAAAACATTTTAAAATACGATAAATTAAAGAAGATTTTTCGTGCTAAATTATTTTTCTCAATTAGCATTATAGAATAACGTCTATAACATTGTTAACAGTAGGCAATTCAATTTTCTTATCAATAAAAGTGATAAATTAAAATTAAAGATATAATTGTCAATTAAAGAATATCACACGTGCCGCTGTTTTTTTCTGCTTTTTAAATAATAGCTTCAAAAAATAATTAAGTATTTTTTCTACAAATAGTAAGGTAACTATATACAACTGTAGTAATTATTACTAATTATCATAAGAAAATGAGCAGTTATATAACGAATAAACAACGTCCATTTGTAAATCATTTGTAAACGATAATTCCAAAGAAAATGTTACACAATAACTAAGTTGTAAGATTAGAATAATCGTTTAAATTTGTAGATATGTAAACGATTGCATAGTAAACCAGCGACGCACATTTTTAAGTGAACATCAGTCTAAAATAATTTGGATTTGTATCTCAACAGCTCACGCGACACGAAATAATAGCTGTAGTAAAAATACCAAAAAGCTTTATGATATAAACGGCTAGAAGTAAAGCGATGTAAATGCAGCGTAATACTTTGAGCAGCGCACACAGACACGTGCTCGCGCACGTTACACAAATGTAATAAATAGGTATAGAAAAGACGGACATTCAAAGTCTATAGTGCATGATGTGACGCATTAGCCGCAAAGCGTCATGTGTCTATATATCGAGCAGCCGAAATAACCGGAGCAGAAGAGTGTCTTAGAGCAGCCGCGGATGAACTAGGTCACCAAATGATTATTAGGCCAAACGGCAATTCGTGCGAGTGTGACCTGCACCCTTGGAAGTAATAGTCATCTGGCGTGCGCGCGCGCGAGATCGTTTAGCGGCGATATAGCTCGTAGCTGCGCTCGCGCGCTTGGTGGACAACGAACAACGGGGGGCTAGGTAAAGGAGGCGGCTCTTTCTCGCCACCACCGCCGCCGCTGCTGCTGCTGCTGCTGCCTTGACAGACGCATAAAAGGTCTGCATTCTTTTTACGGCGAGAACAGGTAGGAAGAAAGAGCAAGAGAGAGGGGGAGCGCGAGTGGTGCGAGCGTGATGCAAGAGACCAGAGAAGGATGAAACTAGTCGTCGACGTGACAGACCGTGACCTTGAGCCGTGACCGCGGTTTCGTCAATTTCATAACGCATGGCCCACTTCGTCGAGTTTGCTCGACGAAAATCCAAGCCATGGATCGCGCTTGATTGGCAATTACCCGCTATTACTCTCGACCACAGTGAGTGCGAAATTCTCGTCGATGATCCAACCGGTGCTGTACTCGTGGACAGGAACGCTACGGAGAGTCGAGATCGTGGTGGCTACGTATAGTGACTGTCTCGCTCGGTAAAGCAGCCGCTCTCGCACACACACACACACACACACACACACACACACACACACACACACACACACACACACACACACACACACACACAGAGGTGCCAGTACAACAGCCAATGTAGCCTGCACGAGAGAGAAAGAGAAAGAGACAGAGAAAGAGAGGATAGGCGGATGAGCATGTGCACAAGCGAGAGGAATAGAGCTATAGCGAAGTAAAGAGAGAGCAGCGCCAACCAGCCAACCATCTACAGAGAGGAACGAACTGAAGAGGCTGAGTTGCTCGGCTCGGATCTGAATCCGATCGCGAGCCGTGCAGTGCCGTGACTCCGCTCTTTCTCGTTGTGTTACAGCTGTATGCAGTGCAACGTCCAAGTGCGCGTTTCCATCTCACTTGCTCCGGATTGACTCGCGAGCGAATCGCATCAGCAAAAGCAGCTCTTGCTTGCTTATATTGTCGAGGCGCTGCGAGTCGTGTTGCTCTCCTCTCTGCTGCTGTGTGTTACTGCTTCTCAACGGCTTGCCTATCTCTTCAGTTCCGCGAATGCTGACAGCTTTGTCAGCGAGAACTCGAATCAACGACACAGTCAGTCCGCTACCGACATATCGTCATCGACTTTTTCGGGGTGCGGATTCCGTGCAAGAGTAAGCGAGAGCTACTTGCGTGCGCCCATCGCACATCAACGGAGAAAGAGAGAGAGAGAGCGAGAGAGAGAGAGAGAGAACGATAAATTGAACGAGAAAAAGATAGAGCGCGAGGAGGAGAGGGAGAGAGTCAAAGTCCGAGTGGCTGCTGTCCTGACGACGATGCGCCGGCCTAGCCAGCTGACCATCTATTGCCAACTGGAGCTGCAGCCTTGAGCGAGAGATGGCAACGAAGCGGATGATCAGCGGGCTAGCAACTCCGCAGCCGGCAGTCTACTAGCTCCATTACCAAAAAAGAGTTCATTCACCTCCACCAGCAACAGTTCGATCTCGGAAAACCAAACGGTCAGCAATTTTTCGTGGCGCCGCCGACCTCGTATCCGCGAGTCATCGCCGTCTCGATCCATGGAGCCTAACCGCCCGCCCATCATGGAGTCCAACGTGACCCCTGCACCCAAAACCTCCGCCCAGGTGCTTTTGAGCAAGGGCAAACGCATCGCCGCCAACCACATCTACCAGGAGTTTAGCAATTCTGGACGTTCTGCCGGCGAACCCAGCAATCTTACTCAGATACTGGACATCCTGCTCAGTCCAACTAAGCCCATCGATGACTGGGAGACCATCGACTGGATGAAGTGGCTTATGGCTGGTGGCCGCACCCCTGATGAATTTGCTAGTACAGGTTAGTTATACATACTCTTATTTGACCAAACACTGCTGCTCTGTAATTCATCACATGACTTTGGCTCATTTCCCTAATTATCAGCAATCTTTAAATAACACTTTATATGATGTCATGTACATAGTCTGCTGCAAGTACCTTATTTCTTTGTTCATTTCAGTAAGGACATTTGACAACGCGACAACTTGTGGATTAGTTTGGACACCAAATTTTGTGGCCTACCGCTGTCGTACATGTGGCATTTCTCCTTGCATGTCTCTGTGTACTGATTGCTTCAAAAAAGGCAATCATCACAAGCATGATTTCAATATGTTTCTTAGCCAAGCAGGTGGAGCCTGTGACTGTGGCGATACTTCTGTCATGAAGGAGACAGGGTGAGTGCAACATAATAATACAGATTGACCTTGAGTCAAGCACAGCCAGCTTAATAATACTGCTTCTGTTTGGAATAGATTTTGTGACAGACATGGGCCAAAAGCAACTGGAAATTGCCATAATTTGGAAGCACCAGCCAATCTGATGTCAGTTGCTGTAGCTATGATGCCAAGAATAATATTGAGACTCATCCAACATTTAAGAGAAAATTGGTAAGATTATTTTCCAATAAAAGCTATTAAATTTTACTCGAAATGCTCTGTTTGAAATTTTCAAAACAATTTATTAACAATGATTTTCAAACATTGTTAATAAAAAGTGTGTGTTTATTTTTGTTATGTATTACTGAGATTTAATTTTGGATAATTGTCATCCATAAAATAACAGTATTCTATGCATTTTTTTAAATGTTCTTGAATCATATTTTATTGAATATTCTTTATTTTATTACAGCAAAATCAATCAAACTGAATATATGAGTGCAATTCAAGAAGCTGATGCATACTTGCAAATGCTGCTTGAGCTTAATAATATGGGCGCTTTAATGAGACATGTAATGACAACTGCTCTAACAAATCCTCAAAAATATCGCGGTCTAATGGATCCTTCAACTTATTCTGGTCAGTCAGAGTATGATAGTTATCTTCAAGATAGCAACAAAATTTATCAAGATGCAATTAAAGGTTTGCCTAATCCAGAACCTCCAGATGAGTACAAAGGTGAATCACTCATTTTATTATTTAGAGATTGACTCAAGAATTTCAATAATTTTACTTTATTATTGGTACTGTATTTCTATTCATCCATTTAGTCTGTTGCATAATCGAACGACGAAAATTATTGAAATTCAAAAACACTCAAAAACACTTAAAGTATATATACTCGAGAATGGTTGGTTTCAATAAGTATTTTATACGAAAATATAATATTGATTATTTTCTTTTATAGAATGTGCATCATTGCAAGAACATCTGGAGCATACGACATTTTTGGAAGAATTGGTGTTTTGGACAGTGGCTTATGAATTTCCACAAAAACTCGTCTGCTTTTTATTAAATATGCTGCCTGATCCAGATTATAAGGAAGCATTGACACGAGCTTTTGTTTTACACTATAGTCGAATTTCTATGATGTTAGAACGTTCAGCAGAACCCGAACATCTTAGCAACAGAGTTGTTCATGTTAGTGTACAAGTAAGTTGCATTTTTTAGTAAGTTTTATTATAATATTTTCAAAAAAATATCAATACATTCAATCAGAAAGTATGGGTAAATAAGTAGATAACACATATTAATCTATTTAGTTAAGTCTACTTGAAATATTTTTAACGCTTCAATTTTTATATTTTTATTTTATTTAACTTATAAATTAATTATATAATTTTTTAATAAAACTTATTGTATGTGACGTTTAATACCTGTATCGACTTTTTTCTATTGAATTACTACTTTTCTGAACATTATTATACGGAAACTATATTATTTGATTCTTTAATTCTTTGACTCTCAGAAAAAAAAGAATGTATATCACGACGAATACTTCTTTTAATAACAGTGTACTAAAAATAAATCAAACTATATTGATTGAAATCCAGAAGTTGACCAAGCGTAATATCGCGTTTATAAGTTATACTGAGATCAAGTTTCAGATTCCTCATACCTTATGATATATTCTTAAAAAATAAAGTTTATTTTCCTTTAAAAAAAATCTAATGGAATACACATTCTGCAATTTAATTTATTAAAACATAAAAAAATTAAAAGCTCTTTGGATATTAAAAGATTTATACCAGGATTTGTGTACTTAAGGATATATACCATATTTTGTATTTCAAACATGAATACATACTATTACATGTATAAGATACAGTGACCCTAAAATATATCAATGATATCTAAAAAATTTTTTAATACAAGATAGACATGTCTCAATACATGACTTTTAGCATTACATTTTCTGCAATAAAACGCTTAAAAACATCATACTTAGTGTGCGCCGTTCTAAAATGATTAATAATTGTAATGATAAGATCAATGAAATAAAGTTAAATCGAACAAATTTTTCGTCTTCGAAAACAGTTTCAAAGAGTAACGTTATGTTAACTTCAAACAAGAAAAATCAAATAATTGTGTTGTTTTAAGTAAAAAGTAGTTTTTATTTATGAATTATCGACTTTTTTATACACTTAAGTGTTATTTTATCGTATGTTCGAAATTCTGGATTAATCATCAATATTTTTACACGCATCATTGACTAATGTAACGTATTTTTCAGAAATTCTTGAAAATGTTGAATTCACCATAGAATATTTTACCATAAGAATATTAAAAAATAATATCGACAAACAAATTATAATTATCTTAAATTATTAATTAGTTTAATTTATGGACTGTCTTTATTTGATTATTGTAATGTTTAACTTATCATATTAAACTTATATTTTTTTACAGCTATTTAGTAATGAAAGTTTAGCACTAAGAATGGTCGATCAGTTGAAATTGCTTCACGTCATGGTGATCAGTTTAAAATACATGATGAGCAAAATTTTAATTCAAAACAATCTCCATGGTAAATTTTATTTACAAACACCATACACAATATCATTCATATATTTTAATCCGTCGTTTGATTTTTTGTTTTAGACCCAGATAAAAATTTTCACTATGTCGTCGATTGTGGCCGTCAAGTTATGAAGGAACATTGTTACTGGCCTCTGGTTTCAGATTTAAATAACGTTCTGTCTCACAAGCCTGTCGCTCAAAGATTTATGAGCGACGATACATTATTGGAAATGTGGTTCGATTTTCTATCTATGTTTCAAGGTATATCCAAATGAAATTAATTAATTTGAAGCTGTGATTAATGGCACATCATAGTAATGATGCTATGTATAATGTTACTCTTTTACTTTAATTCATTATGCGGTTGTTGATTATGCTCACTTAAATGAAAAAATGAAAAGAAAAAAAGTTTAACTTGGTCTTATTTTACGTTATTCATATTATTTCAGTAATCATACTAAAATTTGTAGGAGATATAAATGATACGTATAGTAACAAAGTATTGTAACAAAAATATAAAAATATATACATTAAGTAATTAGAAAGTTAGACAGAGAATATTGTGCAATCTTGAAAATTTCATTCACATATTTATCGCTTTTTTAGGAATGAACGTTAATCAAAGGGAACTCAATCAGCATGTTGAGTTTGAACCTCAATCTTATTATGCAGCATTCAGTGCAGAATTAGAAGCTAGTGCTTATCCTATGTGGGCTCTTGTTTCTCATCTTTGCGGACCAGAAAGTACTGCATTAAGTCAACGCGTCATTACTTTCTGCGTCAATGCCTTGCAGGACTGGTTGGATGCTGTCAATTTTACAAATCCAAAAATTGTGAGTTATAATTTATATTTAAAGTACTTTTTTAATAATTAAAGTTATGGCTAAGAATTCACTTGGTCAAATGAAATGTGGTAGAATTTAAATTATTTATTATTGCAGAGTGACACGTTTCAGGTGTCTTTTCACCTGCCACTACATCGATATTTTGCTGTATTTCTATGCCAAACAGTGAGGCAACAAGGTGCGAAACTGAACGAGTTGCTGCCTGGTACTGATATGCTCCATTTGCTGATGATGCATCCTCTACGCATTCAGGTACGAATTTTAGAACGATTTTTCAATTTTGTCTGCTATTAGTTGGGCAAGATTTAACTATTAAGTCGATGTCGATATGTCGACAAGAGGAACAAGAAATACAAGTAAATAATTCGTTCTTACTACAAAAAATGTATTTAAGGTAGTACAAATATAACGTACATAATAATGTTTTCGCCAAGTAAAAGTGGCATTGCTTACATACATATTTTTTTTCTTTTATAAAGTAAAATCACAGTATATTCAAATGTTTTACGCAAAAAACGAAATCTCAACTTACGAACTAAAGTCATGCATATAGTTATGTATGAAATGTCGATAGAAAAAAACGAAAATATTTTTCTAATTTCTTGTTTCATCAAGGTAAATTGCCTTATAGATTACAAAGCCAACTAAAAAAGATCTATTCATCGAAACAGAAATAATCAAATAACATTATATAATTTGCGTCCTGAGAGAGGAGGCATGGGCAGTCGCAAAATGCTTGAGTATAGATCATTGGTAGAGGCTTAGAGCACCGTGTTTTTTATTGGCGTTCTTTGGATGTTTTGTCGATTACTTTAATTATCGTTGTGTCTTGTCACATGGCGTCAACATCATTGCTCATCGCAATGACCGGTGGTGTAGATGGAAGTTCGGCGCGCAATTGTGGCTCAAAGTTGTAGGTGATGAGCTTGAGAGAAAGGAAGCCACCGTAACCACCACGTCCTTTGTGGAAGATACCCGCGCCGGAGATAGGCACCGGAGGCTTGGGTTCAACGCGCTGAGTGTCGATGAACGGTATCGTGCTTTGTCCCGCGTCCTTTTCCAAATCAGTCGGACCAAACTGGATGTACTGATTGGTATGCGAGTCTGGTATCGACTGAACTTGCGAGCGTGTCGACACGTCCGGTTTATTTAATTTCACTTCGGTCCTATAAAACACATTCGATTAGTCATTCATAAAGTCTTGCGTTCTAGTGCACGTAAGCATCGACTTACCTTTTCTTAGCTACGTAAGTTTCGCCGTCGAGGTCGTAGAGCTCACTAGCATCGGTCGTATCGTACGAGTGCCAAACGCTCATCTCTTTGAAGAGAGTACCTGAGGTGAAATTGAAGGGTGTCATGCGAATCTCAAGATTGAGGTGAGCGCCAATAACTCGGAATCTCAGTCCTGTGAGAAGATGATCTTGTGGTGCATCAAGGTCATCAAGATCGACGGCTCTTTTTTCCCACATAATTGTGTGGTAGTCAATACCAGCTCGAACTTCCGGATCAATGATGGTGTAGTTGTCGATCTTTTTCCAAGAGACACTTTGAGCGTCGATAGCTCCTCGCGGCAACAACGTGCCCTCTTGAATCTGAATGTGAATAATTTGATTCTCCTTCTTCATCTGTACTCCCGTGACGACCCTTAAACGTATTTGAGCGTGAGCAAGCTATAAAAAGAGGGCCATTGCCACCGACTGGTCTAAGTGACTAACTCACTTGTTATTGTCGATGTCGGAGATGACGTCGCGCAAATTGAAGTAGCGGTCCGAGCTGGAATTGTGGTCATCGCAGAAGCACATGCAGTAGCTGCAGTGCCAGAACAGCCAGCGCCACCAGCTATCGACCTTGGTGGTACCTCGTGAGCAGGTACCCTTCTGCCCGTACATTTGTCCGTTTTCGTACTCAATGTACTCGTAACGGCGGGTGCTGCTCTTCTCCTGCGAATAACAAGCAAACCGACAATAGTCATTCGTCTCAACAGTTAATTGTTGGCGATTGAGCGCAGTTAGTGCACTGACCGATGGGCAGACCCACATATCCGAGTCGACGTACTGGCAGTTGATCAGCTTGCCGTTACAGCGCTTTTGCGTGGCACAGAATTGATTCTGATAGCACCCGTAGACTTTTGAGTAGCTGTAGTAGACACAGTTCTCTTTGCAGGTCGACTGAGGATTCATGTCCACCTCATTGACGAGGTATCCTTGGAACACCTGCTTCAGTTCCGTGTAGGTCACATCTGTAACAGGCAAACGAAGCTCGTAAAGATCGTCGCCGTTGACAGGGACAAGCGCACGGTCAATCGCTTACCCATCCTGTGCTTGGCGGGGTCGCACTTCCAAATCTCACGAGGGGCAAAGACCATCGCAGTCTTCACGGCTCTCAAAGTTTCGGACGTTCTGATTGCGTACTGTTGCTTTAATTGTTCCATTTCCTCGGTGAAATTGCCTGTGCAAAGGAGGACAAATGACATTACGATCCTTAGCACTGGAAGGAGAGCGCGTACGTACCGATGTTGTAGAGCTTGAGTATCGTCCAGGAGAACTGCATCATCGTGTATCCCTTGATTTCGGTGAGGGCGATTGTGCTGTAGAGGTTGTAGAGCAGCTGCTGCGGGGACTGCTGATTGTTGCATATCTGCGTCGACGCTTCCTGTCGGCAGTGGCAAACGGGAAAAAAACAGATCAGTCGCGCGCTCCAAGGGTCGTGGTTGGACGCACCGCGACCGGTTGTTGCGCTCGCTCTCCGCGTACCGCGCTCGCCGACGGCACTACCTGATTCGCCGCGAGGAATAGCCGCTGATTGACGATGAAATCGCTGGTGCGCTCGATGGCCGCGGGTATGGACAGGTGCGCGTCGCTCAGCACGGTTTTCGCGAAGTTCGACCACTGCCTCGCGTCCAGCGGCTCGGCTCGATTCACCAGGTCATCCTGCATCCGCCGATACGTAATGTAAATGCTCTCGATGGTACGCAATTCCGACTGCGTCCTCGCCCATAGCCACAGCGTGTTGAGCACTTCGAGGTACTGCTCGTGATCGGTGGCGAACTCGCGCTCTATTCGATCGCCCACGCGCTTGTACTTGCGAATCGCCGCGACGAGCAACTGCTCCTTGCTGTCACTGCGCTCCTCCCCCGAGGACGTCCTGAACGAGCGCGCCGGTTCGTCTCGCGGATCGTCCAGCTCCATTATCTGCTTGCGCAGCATGTCTACAGCGGAGAACTCCTTCGCTGGCTTTCTGCCGTTGACCATGCTGCTGCTCGCTGCGAGCAGTAGTAAACTCGCGAGCAGTCTCCGACCCATCCTCGCTGTCGAGATTTTCCCTTTTTATCGTAGCTCCGCCTGCATACGGTACACCACTGACTCTTATACTGTTTCAGTCTCCGATATCACTTGCTTGGAATTTCATTGTCGCCAACTGAACGTCCGGCCACGGTTCGCCTCGCGTGAAAACGCGCGTCACGACATTGACTTTGGAAAAACGCGAGTTGTGTAGCCTGTGGGTTATACAATCGCGGGAAGGACGTGCGTCCGAACGACTCAGCGAGATAATTGTCAACGCGGAGCTTTGGCGAAATAACAAAGAAGCGTTTGTTGTCGCGCGCGCGCGCCGCGGGCAGACGGTAAAAAATCTGACGTCAGCGCCTCGCCAGTATTGAGCGAGTTCCTCTCTCTCTCGTTGCGGAGAAGGTAATTTTTCGAAAAAAGAGCCTCGAATACAGTCGACCCAGCGGAACAAACCTACGACTTTTCGAGAGTTCGTGGAGCAGGCCAAAGAAATCAACGAGGCAAGCGACTTTACGAGAAGACGTATAAATTAATGTCAATTTTTTCCTTCGAGCCAAAGTAAAGAATTCGACTCGTTAGACTCAATTTACGCGAAATAGAACGAGCAACCGAGCACTGACCGATGGCACTCGCGACGAAAGGACCTTTTTTCGGTTGACGACAAGAGACTCCAAAATGAAAAAAAGGAGGAAAAAAAAGAAACGAACGAGGCTGACCTTTTGCACGTGTCAAAATGCAGCGAGTCAGCTGTTCGAAGCTGCACGTGTGCTGTTCTTACCAGGCAGGTTCTGTTGCCAATACGAATATTATAATGTATAATATCGGGCCAGTGACCGGCGCGCGAGAAGTCGAGGAATAGATAGACTCTGCGCAAGGTGAGAGAGTCTCTGTCGAATCGGCGACTGAAGTGCCCGCTCACCGTGCGACGAGAGCGCAGAGAATTCCCACTGCTTGTTTTCTCTTCTCGTCACTGTCGCGCGCGCTTTGTGGACGGTGTCGCGCATAATCACCACCACCACCACCTCGTCCTCTCTCTCTCTCTCTCTCTCTCTCTCTCTCTCTCTCTCTCTCTCTCTCTCTCTCTCTCTCTCTCTCTCTCTCTCTCTCTCTCTCTCCCTCTCCCTCTCCCTCTCTCACTCACGGCGCATGTCCCTTTCGAGCTCTACTCTTTCTCCCCCTCCTACGCTCTTTCTCTCGATTTTTTAGTTGCATACTGATGCTTTTTTTCTCGTTTTTATCTTTTCTCTCGGCGCTAGCAGAGAGCGCGTGAATTATTTTCCTCGGAATCCCGTTCCACTTGATCATAGTTTCGAAATCTTTCGCACTCAAGCGATAGGTCCACTACAAGAAGTACGTTTTGTTTATGTTTGTCTTTTTACGCAGCTCGTTCGACCGCAATAAGATTTGCTACGTAATATTATCTCAGAATGATGAGCACATATTGTTATGACGAACTGTTATGCCTCATTAGGGCACATCTAATCTAAGGTTTTCTTTTCGATATAGTGAACGTACACGCAAGATAACATGTAATGTGAAGCATGCGCGAACAACTGAGAGGGATCTCCGAATTTGTTGAATGAATGGCCGCCTTTGCTCGGCGCTCTCTGTAAAAGCGTAGTTCTTTTCTTTTTATTTCATGCATGCAACGCATACGTGAGTCTGCTGCGAAAATCATGTGACCCTCGCACAAGTCTTCAACACCAGTCTCTTTCATTTCCAACGGAAACTGTATCACCATTTATCTTTCTTTTTCAGTTTTGCAATCGCTGTAGACGTAGTTCTTTTTTTAATGATTTAGCAAAAAGTATTTGAACCCGATATATGCAAGGACAACTTTGAGGAAAACAAAACGCGATAAAGAACGAAATTCAAAGAATCGCAGTGAAATCTGAAGCGCGCAGTATGTTCATCTTCCGCGTACAGAACTTCCGCTCGGTAATCGCATTGCTGAGATGCACGAGAAACGATGATGATAGCCGACAGCGAGATGGTTAAGTGATTGAAGCAGTTGCAGGGGAGATGATTCGTATTCACCAAGTTTGTGCGTGCATGCGCGTGCGCACACACATACATACACACACATATATCGTGTCCTGTTTCTGTTTACGACAAGCAATTCAAAAACAATGGAATACATGGCAAGTTATAACTTGCGAATTGTGCTAATTCTTTCTTTCGCTGAGCTCCCGTCATTAAATTATAAGAGTTACGAGAGATACATAAATACGCGTCTACTTATATAGCCATGTATAGCGTATAGTTCAGCTTTAATTTTGCGTAAGCAACTAATATACGTATGCTAGCTAACCTATGTGTACATACGCCCGTTGCAAGGCGTCGCGTTACCATAGCATCGGATACTTTCCAATGTTTGAATGTCGCATTTTTCATTGCTGAAAACGTCTTGCACGATTGTTTTTTCGCACTAGGATTGCCGATCGACGCGCGAGAGCGAGCACAACAATCAAGTTGTAGTTCAGGAATAATGCACTTGATTACCTTCATATTCCTGGCGAGTAGGGTGAGGATACTTCGATGAAAGATATCCTTATCCCAGTTGGGTGGTACAACCAGTCGATGAATCATCTTGAGTACATCTGGCAGAGCATTAAGACTCGAACTCACAGAATTCCGCGCAAAATCTTCAAGAGTGAACTGTTCGTATTTCTCGGGTGCCTTGGCGTACCTTAGGAAATTCTGATACGAATTTTCCACTTGCCCGAGATACTTCCACAAGTCGTGCATACTCTTCTCCAACATCTCGCGTTCGGGCATTTTGTCGAGAACAGCATCAATAAGAAGCTCGTTTCGGTGTTCCATACGACCCTCAAATGCCTCGATCATACGCGATACTTGGCCTATGTGATTCATTAGTCGTTTCTCCATCATCTTGATGAAAGGAAATTCATTCTCGGAATCGCTCGGTCGTTTGGGCTTGATCAGGTGGTACGACTCAAGCACATCCGTCACCACTTCACGACTAAACTTAAGCACTTCGGTGACGTCGCCAAAGCTCAGGTCGACACCAGTCGCGAAGTCGGGAAGCGACAGACTTAGGATCATCAAAAGGCATACGCCATAATGCCTCCTCGAATTAGCCATCGTAGTGACGGTCTTTTTTGTTCCGTCGCAGAGGAACAACAAATGTTGATGTCCTGACGTTACCAAAAAAGATACTGCTCCAAAAAAAAAAAAAAGCGAATACGAGGAGCTCTCGAGCAGCGCCGAGAGCAGACTGTTCGCAGTGACGGCGTCTCGCAGTGTCGAACGAAACAAGAAACGAAGGGGGCAGAGCAGTAAACCACGAGCGGCCCCCTATTTTCCAGTCCGTTAACTCTACTATATCGTGAAGTCTAACCTATCTCTCTCTCTCCCCCTCTCTCTGTCTCTCTCTGTATCTGTCTCACTTCCTCTCAAGTGCGTAATCATTAAGGTTGTTTCGTCTCCCGCTGTGAGGCGCGTACTGTCATGTATGACTCGGAATCCTCGTTTTCATCGTTTCCAATCTGTATATTCTTACTTTGGTCATAACAAATCCTCCTTTCGTCAGCACACTTTTCTAAATTTCAGTTTACCAGCTTTCCTTTTCCTTATCTATCCATTACGCATCCATTTGACGTTACGAGTTTCTCGTAATCGGTTACGTTTGTCTTTCTATCGGATATTGTTATGCAAATCTCCCCCCATGAAAATAACAATTAACCTGCAACACTATACGAATTTGCTTTTGCGACATGCGCTATAGAATTTGTAAATTACTTCACGCAACGAAATATCACAACTCTTGTGTTTCGCTCTAATGATTCGTGATAGTTCATTATCGCAACCAAATCAAATAACTGTACAGTTAGGGATGTCAAAGTTAAATTAAACTAATAAAATGCAGTCGATCCTGCTGGTCATTGAACAAAAAAATAACGTTTTCTTCTCTGTATTCTTCTTGCTTTAAAAGTATCCTAGCTGTTAATTCGACATTGCATATTTTCTGACAATAATGAAACTCATTAAATACCAATCTGATAAGTTAGTCAGACTGACTGTCGAGTTATATAATGATCATCCGAAAGCTATTATTTTCTACAAAATCAGTAAAAATGTTGAAAAGAGTGATTTACCTTCCTTAATATGTACATGTGCATATCCGCATGATTAAGTAATAAAAATGAATCATTATTGATGCATATTGTTTATAATGAGTACTTCGAGTTTATTTAAAAATATTGAAAATGTTATCTGTCTGTTTTCAGGTGGCTTTCTATGAGATTGTCAATAATTTATGGGTTCGCAATGGACTGCAAATCAAAGGCCAAGCTATGACATATATTCAGTGTAACTTTTGTAATTCGATGGTCGACGCGGATCTTTATCTACTTCAAATTTGTGCAACCAAATTACAACCGGATGTCTTCTTATCGACCGTGATAGAAAAGTAAATATTGGTTCAAAATTACATTCCAAATAATAATTTTCTTTTCTTTGCTTTTATATCAATTGAATTTTTTTATATTTTAAGGTTCCATGTTAAAGAATGGATGAGCTTGAGTCGTTATCACGCGCCACAAAATGAGTATCTAGAAGGAGAGCACGACATCGCAATGTTGGAAAGTTGCTTGACTTTCTTGACAACTCTCGTCGATGTTCGGACCAACTTAGGTAAATTATTTTAAAATTCAAACAATGACTTTGTCAATAAAAAGAAAATTGTATCCAACGAATGCATCATTTGTTAGGTCTCTCAGATCCGGAAATGTCGTGCTTGGAAATGGTGACTCTGCTGTGTATGGGTGATAAGACTCATAGTCAACTGATGGAGTTGATGCCAGAACGCTGTGGTACCACGCAAAATCGAGATTTCGAGTCGGTGCTCGCCGAGGTCGCTCAATACAAAGCACCGAACCTCGAAGCCAGTGGACAAATGAACCAAGGAATGTACATCCCAAAAGCGCATGTTTGGGAAGAATTATTTGATCCACTTCACGTTTTACTTAGAGCTGTGCACAGAAAAGATTTTCAAGTGTCGATGGATCGATACGTCAAACAGTAAGTTACATCACATGGACAAGTCATGCGAATAATTTGAATTGCGTTTTATTTCAAAATGAAATTCTCACAGCTTAAGACAAACCGGCAAGCTCGCAGCTAGCGTTACTCCATGGCCACCGTATCGGCATCCAGCACCAGTCTCGGCCCAGTACGACGATCCACGTTACGTGCTGCGATCCAAAGTTTTTCATGCGATGATCTTCGTAGTTCTTTACAAAGCAGTTAATACTCAGGACATAACAGAACACGTAATGGCCTTGGCTATACATCTACTGGAGATGGCGGTTGTTACCGCTGAAGTTCCAGACAAATCCGTGAGTGGCTTCGTATTTTTGCATAAGTATTTGCGAAGACTAGATGATTTCTCACGGGTTAATCAATTTCAGACTCACCTAATTTGTCAGTACAACAGTGGTGCAACTCCTCGCATTTTCAAAGATATGGATCTGGCTGGCTGGTTTACCTCCAATAATCTTTCTGAAAACTTAAGGACTGTCATACCTAGAGTCGTGCTCGTGCCAGAACCAGAGCAGAGCAGCTCTGATAGTACTGGTTTTGTTTTGATTCTATTTTTTAGACATAATGTGGCTGTTGTAAAGGAAGATTTTGACCATACTATTTATTTCATTTGCAGGTGAATTCGAATGGGAATTCCAACGTGATGTAACGGAAGTTGCAGTGCTAAATGATAGCGCAGATGAGAGTTCAAGTGGCATATTGGCTCTTCCTTTGTCGGCCGATAATGTAGAAATTTCCGATGAAACAAATATGAATGCCGCTGCTCTTCCAGCTCTTCCAACGATTAATGGTATGTACTCAACTGACTTGTTACTACCAATCATATGTACAACACTTGTTTAATAAGCCTGTATTTAGTCTAGTACTTGATACATAACTTCATCGTTAATAGCTTCATAATAAATCCTACTCAAATATTTGTCAAAGCTTTAACAACCTAATCAGATGCAAGCGTAAAAGACAGCTTGTTCATGTTTGAATGTCTTTTTTTTCATTACTGTTTTATAGTAGATTACGATACAAGTTTTGTACCTGAAGACGGGGTAGTTGCCATCCCACGCAATGATAGTGAGGACGAAATGTTAATTGTCTCGAGAGCACTGCCTCCGTCTACCGAAGATACGGGGGTCTTAGCCCTTGAAACACGATCTACGTTAAACAGTACGTTTATATGATACTGAAAATTAACCTTGGTTATTAACTTTTCATTGTTCATCTATTTGTATTGATTCTCATACTTAACTTTTATAATAGACTAAATACAATTATGTAATATGAACTCATCAATCACACTAGACTTTTTTAATTCAAAATTTGCACAATTTTTCGTTTGTTTTTTTTTTTCGAATAGATGAAGCGAACAGACAACCTGCTCTTCCGCCATCAGTTCCACGCCCTGCAGTCATGGCTGGAAACGAAGTAGTTTTTCTGAATTCCATTGTTTCTCGACACGGTGGCTTAAGTTCTACTTCTACGGAAATTGTTCCGTCAACATCATCTCACAAACATTTTCGAAGAAGAGATCCTCAAGTAAGTTTCTATACATTTTTACAAACATAATTATAAAATTTTATTTTTTATATCTAACGTAACAAATTTTTTCAAATAACAAGACGGGAACACCACAGCCTCAGATGGTGAGAGTAGGAGAAAGCGTAATATCTCTTTTACTCAAACTTCATTCCAAATTATCGGGAGCACCAGATAGTTTCAACCTGGAGCAAACGACAGAAGCGGAACCCGGCAGTAGTATGGACACAAGCGAGCAATTTGATTCTCGTATTGGCGACGGTCCATTTTTCATAACTAAATTGCTCAATAAAATAACAAACCTTGATCTGATGTGCAGAGAAAACATCATTGAAACTAAAAATCGATTGTGGCCTCGAGTCCAAGACATTGAAGCTGAGCAAAGAGAAAAGGAGAATAGCGAAAAAGCTGAAAGGCGGAAGCGAGCTAAAGAGAGGCAAGAAAAGCTAATAGCTGAATTCGTTAACAAGCAGAAGCAATTTTTGGAAAAAGCTATGGAGACAGGTGAGTTACTAACTAATCAATCTCAAATCAATTGTTTGGTCTACTTCGATGCTTTATACAATTATTACTTGTTTTATTACAATCAATAAATTTTACTTTCTAATACCAGGTTAATTTTCTTTTTCTCGGTTTTTACAGATGAAGCTGGCGGCTTAGGTATGGATTGGGAATCCGAAGACGGACAAGCCAAAATGCCTAGTAAAAAGGAATATGATTGCGTCATTTGCTATCAGACTACATCAAGTACAGAAGATCATCCAATGGGTCTTGTCGTTCTGGTCCAGGTAAGACTTATAACTTCTTTATGCATTCAAATGTTATTTAATGCTACTAGTATTGATGATTGATTCAATTTTAGGCAACGAGCGTGCTAGGACATCAACGAAGATATCCGGAGCGTTTATTATTGCCTACGTCGGATGACGATCCACCCATACGTCATCCAAGAGATGATACTCGTGGAGCTCATTTCGATTACAGAATAGATGAATTAAACAGATCGTTTGATGGCGGGTCAACGGTATATTTTGTTTAATGCTAAATATTTCTTGCTTTGTAATTGCTTCAACGACACATTTGAACGTATTGATTTTTATTACAGAGCAAAACCCCGATGTGGTTATTGTCATTAAATTTAGGATGGGAAGGTGGAATCCACGTCCAAACTTGCGGACATCATCTACATCTAGACTGTCTTAAATCGTACTTACACTCTGTACGCGATATACAAAGACAGCAAAATTTGGATAGAGGCGAGTATTACTGCCCCTTGTGCAGGCAGTTAGCCAATTCTGTTCTTCCTTTATCACCACAACTGGGCGAATGCACCGCAGTGGTACGCTCTCGTCATTCGTCACCTGAAACAATACTCATCGATCTAAATAACTTTTTGAAAGAAATTCAAAGGAGTCCGGTAAATAATGAATTTCTTTTCTCTTTAAAAGTCGCATAACAAAATCATTTATAAATTATTTTCTATCCATAGGTTACATCTAATTTGGCTTTAGCTATGGGAAAAGCTATGGAAGACATGACGAGTTCGACGTACATGAAATATAAGCAAAAGAATTGGAACCCTAGTCACCAAAGCTTATTTCTTTTTGTTACTTCCGTTGCGCGTACTAATTTTGAAGTTGAACTTGTACGGCGAGGAGGCTCGCTATGCGAACCACCTTCAACAATGGTTCCTCTAACGCCAAAGCGTGATTGTATGGGTAAGTTTTCAAGATCTCGAAAACTTGATTGATTAAATAAATAAAACAGAAAAACAAATTAACGATAAAATATTATCTTATTTTGTTACAGTTGCACTATTACACGTACTGGCTGTGCATGCAAGAGTTTTGACGTTATGGCCGGTTCATCAGACTTGGGAACAGTTGACAGGTTTGCCATTAGATCCGGCTTCGCATTTGGCTCTCGTTCCTCATGAAGGAGATGTTCCCCTTTTGTTAAGGGATCCTACTGCACTGCTGCTCCAGTTTATACTTTTGCTTCCACTTCACATTGATCAAAGTACGTAGTCTATTAAAATAATTCAAATCACTTACTTTCAATATATTAAATGAATTTACTAAATTTTTTTTTCATTTCAGCTTACTTCTCTGCTGTTGTCAAAGTTTTGTACAATTTATTATACTATCAAATAATAGTGCAAATTAGTTGTGGTCTAACACAAGCTGAAAGAAATGCTGTTATTGGTCGAAGTATGCTTGATGATCAAACTTTTGCACCAACTTCCGAAGCTATTTTAAGGACTGTGATTGTATATTTCCGCGATACCGCACTCTACTGTAACGACGACAACGCATCTTCATCAACAAGTCACGCTAGAATAAGAAGCCACGTTATCGAACAACAGGTTTGGTTTAATAAACGAAGTTATTATTGACAAATCTTTTATTGAATGCGATTTAACTTATCAATCTTTTCTATTGTAAAATTAGATTCAGTCGCTATGTCTGCCCTTCCTCCGAGTAGCAGCACTCCTCCGTCATCACTTATATGAACAACCTATACCTTTGATTCGTTCTGCAGAGACAGAGTTTGTAAGGCTAGTATATTATTTAGAACTAGTAACTGAGGGCATGGACTGGAGTTGTTTCAATGCAGCGGTAGCTTTGAAATGGCAAAACGACGAAGTTGCAGTCTCTGTTCCTCATACTTGGTTTGAACAATTTGCTGTCTTTGTGACTCAGAGTGAAATTGCTGCTAGAGGTCTAATTGTCGACCAGCATATAACGTGGCATATGCCAAAATTACTGGGTCTTCCAAGAGAATACGAGAAAATATTTACGGTACATTATATTCTTGGTTTTATATCTTTTCTCGTTTCTTTCGTTTTATTGATGTTAAAACTTACGGCGCATTTTGATTTTAGTATTACCATCAACGCCAGTGCCGACAGTGCCATTCTGTACCCAAGGACAAAAGCGTATGTTTATTATGTGGTACCATCGTTTGTCTCAAACAAAATTGTTGTAAACAGTCAAATGTTTGCGAAGTCGTACAGGTAAGATATTTTTAAAGAGAGAAAGAAAATATATTAAAGAACTTTTCTCAAATTTACAGCATTCTATTGACTGTGGGGGTGGAACTGGCATATTTTTAGAAGTGACATCAACGTATGTTATTGTGATTAGAGGAAAGAGAGCTTGCTTATGGGGTTCTCTATACCTTGACGATTTTGAAGAAGAGGATAAAGACTTGAAGTAAGTATTCATCATGTTATCTCGTATCACCGGATGGAAGCTAACAATAACATTTATGAAACTTATTTTCTTATGACTTTATAGACGTGGAAAGCCGTTATACTTGAGCCAGGATAGATACCAGTTACTAGAACAACAGTGGCTTGCTCATAGATTCGATCATACGAAAAAAACATGGGTTCCGCATCGCGATGCTCTGTGACGTTCTACAATTATGAAAAATTGATCCATCCGTTATTCCCACAGGAAATACCTCGCCAAAATTTTACAGGGCTTCAAAATTTATAAAATCAATTGACTACCAATAAGCATATTTATTCACTGGCGACCGGTAAATAAAATAATGAATATAAGTTTAAATATTGAAAGTATTTGTTGTGACGGAACTTAAAGAGAACGGCACTTAAAGAGAGACGTTTTGCGAAAAACGTAGAATTATGATCGTTTTCTTGAAGCTATTTTATTTAAGACTTCTCAGAATCAACTTTCAACCGAAATACGTACATAGTGCATAAATTGCTTCATTTTAAATAAAAATCAAATTTAATTAACTTTCTCATTAGATTGGTTTTTTTGGTTCTATTTACACTATGAATTATTTGTTGATTTGAAGTTACTTGATTCCTTTACAATGATTTCGTAAATTATTTTGACGTTTAGCGTAGACGGTATATTAATTTGTGGAGATAAAGCTTAATACTGAAAAAATAGACTGACGTCTTAAATTTTACGTTATGTTTTAGAAGAACAACATTGTTGTTTAGTGTTCTTATAACAATCCTACAGTGAAATACTACATGTTGAAAAATGATAAGTATTGTTTAATAATATCTAACATTTCACTCCTTTTTTGCAGATACTAAAGACAAGTTTCTAATAAATTATTTTATTTCTTAAAATCCAGCAAAGTTAATTGACTAGATATAAAAAATGAAATCTATATTTTTAACGTTGCTTCGGTGGCTGCGTAAATTTATTGACGTTTGTAAATATAATTTCTGAAGTGAGAAAGAGAATGAATGAGTGAGAGAGGTATTGAAAAGAGACCAGCAAACGTTGATGAAAATGGGCTGTGTACACCCAAATTGCGAGTGTATTGGTAAGTGTGAATGTTACGACAAGCTTATAACGTTGGAGGAAAACAATTTATCTTGTATACAAGTTGTTCATTGTTTAAATTTAAAAATCTAGCAAATAAATATAACCATTCTTTATTTTTGCGTATATACAAGTTAGTATTCTTTAACTGATTGTAAATATGTATAGGCGTCAAATGGTTAATACGCAAGTACACCGCGCAATAACATGTTCGGTCAATTGCGGATTAAACAATTTGTACATAAAACACTTACAAAGTTATTCCGAAAGTTTTTTATACTTAGAATTGTTTTTTGTCTAAGTATATATTATATCTTATTATTGAGAAGTTTATAATAGACCTGCTCAAGACTTATAAATCAGTGATTGAATTATACAATGAAATTATGATTGTGTTATAAAACAAGTAAAAATAAAAATTTATCTTATGATCATTAATTTTTATTTGTATTTTTCTATATTTGCAATTTTAAGTATATTGAACAATTATAAGCACGAGATGATGTGAAAAAAGAAAAACATCATTCAGTTAAATGATACCTGTTTAATTATTCATATAGGTTTCTAATCATATTCAAAGATCAACAATCAATTATCAACGTTTATATATGTGTGCGTGCGCGTACACTTATGACTTATGAATTGCTACTTTTAAAATTCATTCGGAATCTAATAAAATAGAAAACATAATAATATAGTGAAATTGCTATTTGTTTTATCTTCTTTACATTAGATGAGGGTGAATAGATTACCTACTCAATTATCAACGCTCATTAGAAAAGTTTATGAATTTTAGATCACAGCTTAATCAGTTATTTTTGTTGATTTGCTCTAATTTGAAAAAATTTTTTTTAACGATTTCTTCAAGAATATGTTCATCTATCAATATTTCATTCAGAGACGTAGAACGAGTATAGTCAATCTCTGTTCACTTTGATATCTAATTTTAAACAGATACTTGGATTTCAATTTTCTATCAAAGATATTTTTAGATGAAAAGATATTGAAATATATTTTTTTCAAAAAATAAACAATAACCAAATAACCTAATAAATTTTTAATAACATTTACGTTATGATCAGCGAAATGGATTTGTAGTATATTTAAAATATACTGAATACTTATTGTAATTCTGACAAATGATTGTTTAACAAATCCCAGAATCCCTTTCTTTTTCCAATACCTGTATATACTCCTAATTAATAATCTTGATACCAGTATTGAACAGAGAATAAATGATAAATATCCTACAGAAGAAAATTAAGACTCCAAATGCAATCTTAAACATAATAATTTACTTTATACTTACCTTAAAACCCTGTTTTTCAAAACAATTAATTTTTAAATTAAATATTTCTCTAATATAAATATTAACTGCTATTCTTTGTTGATATTTTAATTACAATGTATTAGAAATTTAGAAATTATTTATTAATTCTACATATGGCCCATGTAATAAATTGTTGCAATATGAAACAAATCTGACCATATGAAGGGCTAAATAATAAGCTATGATTCATTCATAAATTAGGAAATTATAATGTAAGTATTAGCAGTATATATATATTTTTTTTATTCAAAACATTAAAACTGTTGAAGCAAGATTAGAAGAAGTCAAGGACCGAAAAGATATGAGTAATCAATTGTTCAGTTTCGGTTTATTATTTTTTTTAGTACATTGATATCCAAATGTTCACTTATGTTAAGTAAATTAGAAATATTTGGTTAAGATTTTTAAATAATCATGATGAATATTATTCATTAAATAGCAAAAAAGTATTAAGTCTTGTTAATAGGCCATATATCAAATGTATAGCCTAATCACAGGATGATTCTTTGAAATAAACAATGTTTGTTGTTAAATATCAATACATCTACATTTGTAAAATTAAAATTATAGGTATGGTCTAAACAGAAAATACTTATATTATTTCTAGATTGTTTAGAAATTTAATTGATTTTATTATACATGGAAAAAAGTTTTAATGTTAACTAGAGATTTGAGTAGATTGAAAAAAAAAATTAAGGATAATAAATGTCATAATCGTTCGAGTACGTGAAATCTTTGTTGAGAAAATGTTTTCATAATTAAGTTACAAAGCGCGTAATACAAAATGTTCATTTTCATTTATGACAGTTATAATTTAAATGCAACATTTCTTTGAAATTAGTTTACATTGTCAAATACTTGATGTTTCTATTACAATAAAACAAAGGAATATTTACTATAAGAAAATCTTTCAAATAATCCCTTCAACTTAGATCTAGAAATGCACAGTAATAATTAATTAAAGTAATAGTCTACCGTTAATATCTATACAATGGTAAACTACGTGGTGTTTTAAAAAAGTTTGTTATAAAACAGTAACTCATAGTTTCCATGCTACAATTACCAAAGTACAAATATCAAAGGAAGATCTAACTCAAATTTTCAAATAAAATTAAGAACATATTCTAATGAAATTTAATATTTTACTATTTCTTAATAATGAAGGATGCCTTTTGTGAAATCGATAGTTATGATCCATTTGTTATTAATGGGAATGTAAAACACCACGTCTGGATTACTAATCTGGAAATCAATTATAAAAAGAATTTCAAATACGTGTCTTCAATAAAAAAAAAAGTATTTTCTCTTCCACAATTTTTAATCCCCCCATTCACTTATTAGAAAATAAAATTAAAATACATGGCTTTTACTGAAATTTTTGTTTAATGTCCCCAATATAGGCCTCCTGTTTGTTCTTGATATACTTCAATAACATCGTCATTTTCCATTTCCAGCTGAAAATACAGTATAAAATTAGTTTTGTTTATAAAATCATGCTAATAATAATAATTTAAAATTAATAATAATTTAAAAAGTAGTAAATGAACTGACTGATTACAATTTTTTTTATATTCATAAACATTAGCAAGCACATTCTTAACATTTTTAATAACAGTTTAAATAAGATTTTTTGTTTAATATTTTTAATACATAGAATTTAATTCAATATATAAAAATCCTTATAGTGAATCAGTTACAAATTCATAATCCTTTAAAACATATCATAACTGGATTATCTTTGAAAAAATTGAGTTTTAAAAGTTTATATCTAATATTTTCAGTAAATAACGTTTAATTAATAACTGTAATAAATGTTTTGTTACTATAAATAAAATTATAAACATACATTTGATACGAAAGATAAGTCGATATTTTTTATTTATGTAACGTGAAGTATTTCATAAAATAATGTTGAATAAATATTTTACAAATTAAATATAAAATCTTGAACTTGTTTTCAAATTAATTAACATTAATTAATTTAAAATTTAAAAACTTGGCATAAATTAATTGGAAATTTCAAACATAATTTAATATGGCAGTAATATTGTTATGCATGAAAACAAACTGAACTATTAAAATTCTTACTAAGTTCATGCTGTGCAAAACTATTGTTAATATATATCGAAAAATAACATTGATCAAATGATTGTATATTTACCTGCTTTGGTGTTTCATCATCGTTAATTCTTTTGCCATCAAACAGAAACCTGAGCGATGTCATGGGTACACCCTGAAAATTACAGAGAAAAATACAGATAACCACTTGTGTAAATCCCATTACTTAAATAACTTTTACTGTATCGCGTAATTAACGAATGAAGGGATAAGTACGATTAGTTGAAAAATTTGATAACAATAACAATGTTATCTTTCTGGTTAATTTGGTATGGTTGAAATAAACATATAAATGAATAAATAACTCAACTCACCACGCGATCACTGTAGGACTTCTTGAGTTTACCCATTTGAGTCGTCATTTTTACCCTGAAGTGGATTTCGTTGCTGTCCTGTTAAATGAAAGAGAAAAGAGTGTAGATTGGAAGGAAAGCAAAAGAAAAAAAGGAAAAAATCCACTTACATTTCCGACAACTTTGAGCTTGATATATTCAGAGTTGGCATCGCCAGGGCCGGAATCAGGCTTCTGTTCCTGCAAGGAAAGCGAGCGTCGAGGTTATAGAGTGGTTAAAGAAGCCGGTAGAGTTGTAGAAGAATTGATGCATGAGGAGGAAAGCGGTCGGCGTCGTCGGCTTCGCAAGCAATTTTCGCTCGCGAAGACTCACCTGGTTGTCACCCATTATTGCAGATTAGATTGAAAGTGTTATCGAGCACGCGCCACAACTAGCGAAGCAAACACACGAGTAGGCAATATGGCGCTACGCTTTTGTCAGTTTCATAAGCTTATATTCGAAACGAAACTGTTCACCGGCGTCGCTCCACGGGACGGCGTGCGCTGCTATAGTACAAAGATCGGCGCGGTGGCGGCGGTGGCAACGGCTGAGCGGCAGCGACGGTGAGCGGTCGACCTTTTCCGGTACGCGAGCTGACGCAAGGCGGCGACGGATACGCTTATAGAAGCTGGCTAGGGCACGATCTCTCCGTCTCTCTCTCTCTTCCCGTGAAGAAAGGTTGTGGCAAGCGGCGTCTCCGATAAAACGCGCTGAGGCGATGTTATAGAGAAAAATGCCGGGCAGCCGGAAGTTCGTTCTGATTCGTCGGTTCGACCGACACTCACTCGACTTGTCCATCTTTTGAATTTTATACGTTATTCCGCTTATTTAGTTGTCCAGATTTTCTTGCACGTCCTTACATGTTTTTCACACTTCCTTTCTTTTTCTCCTGTTTATTTCCAAGCTAAACTGTTTTTTGTCATTATTATCATGATTTGCGATGCATACGATTGGAAGTCGTGGAATTTTACCGATTGTATGATTCTTCGATTAATTTTCGTTAACGAGATTTCTTCATCCAGTCATGACGTCATGTTGAAAAATATTACGTAATATTATGCAAACTTTCTTTATTCTATTATTAGAATGATGGATTGACGTACTAATCGCATAACGATGTTATTATCGTGGATGACAAGAATTGTTTCAATAAAAAAATGTACACTACTAATAGTTTGTTGCAAACATGATATATTAGTAATTATTCTAAAACTTGGGAGTCTATTTACAATATTACACAGAGAAATGTAGTTTGAATTAGTTGCATTCAGAGTTTAGTTAAAATCAGTAGATTTTTTATGATAAATTACAGAAAAATTTTATTTTACAAAGCTTAAAAATTTGTATGGGTAACAGTATAGTTTTACTGCAATCGACTTATTTGTAAGTTGGACGACGATTTGAAAGTCAAGAAGAAAGGTCCCTCTTGTCCTGGTAAAAATGTCGATGGAATGACATTGTAGATTCCCGCAGGCACATCCACTAGTTCAAGATAAACAAAACCGGAGCTGAAATTGATATTGCAATTAGATCATACGAAGATGTATTCGAATGTGATCAAGGTGGAGTTCATACCGGAAAGGTCCAGAAGTTTTACTTTTGAAGGCTGTGGGAGATTCGGGATCATTCAGAATTACCGTCAAAATTTCAAATCCGATCTGATATTGTTTTGGTCCTTTCAGAATAATAAGCAACCAATTATTATTATTTGAGCTTTCAAGAACTAATTGGTATCTAGGATTGTGAACGTAAGTTGCTGGGTGATTTCCGCATCCTCCAGCGCTAACACCTTTCCATTGACCGTCTTTGATCTATAGGTAGCAAAAATACATTGCAAAAAATTAAACTGGCTAGCTTAACTTAGAAATAAAGTCATTGGCGTTTTAAAAATTTAGGATAAGTTGCTTAATGGACGTGAATTCATGACCGTATAGACATTATTGCTTCAAATTTGGTGCACATTGTTTCACCCTTTTTTTATCGACAGAGAATTTATAGCATAGGTCGTATTTGAAAAAATGTATTCAGCGGGAACGTTTTTGGATTGTAATGAGCTTGTAAATCTAGGTATTTTATAAAACGTGCTCAATATACTTGTAAACACGTAGGGTTGATTTCAATTTTACGCTACACGTACTAATTCGCGAGGTTTGCTGCTATTAATGTTTGTACTGTCAGAAAAGCGCAATTAACGCATTGAAATCCATAACTCGATCAAAACTATCTAAGAATTCGGTGTAGCCACTTTTTTGAAAACCACGTCTCATTTTGGCTTGCAAACGGGTTTAGCTTCTAAATTTCATGAAGTAAGGACTGCAGGAAGTTTCGAAATTAATAAATCATCATTTGGAGTTGAACATTTTAGTAACCGAAAGAAAATCATGTCTTCAAAAGCACACGCCACATCCATGTTTGAGACAAAGGAAGAAAATGTGACAGTATCTTAGACCCCGGTCCCATAGCTACGTACAAATGCGGACGGATACGGACGCGAATCGCAACTCTAGTAACATCACTAAAAATATCTAGTTCGATTATTTAGTGCCAACACTACCGGTAGTGAGCAAAAGTAACTGTTGTTTAAAACTGTAGCGTCGAACATACCACATTTAATGAACGCTTATCTAACCTTTACATTATTGCAGTCTATAAGATAACAAATGATAGAGAATTGATAGACTTTCAACTACAATTAGTGGAATTAGGCCTTAATTTTATGGAAGTACTTATATATATGAGAAGAAGAAGAAAATATATATAAATGATATGTATTAATCATCCCAAAAACTTTTTTTACATTAGCATACTCATCAATAAGCAATATTCATGAAAATTTGAAAAGTAAATTGTAGACCTGACATTTGAACATTAAATGTGGTACGTTCGGCGCTTCAGTTTTAAACAACAGTCACTTTTACTCACTACCGGTAGTGTTGGTACTAAATAATCGAACTAGTATTTTTAATGATGTTACTAGAGTTGCGATTCGCGTCCATATCCGTCCGCATTCATACGTAGCTATGGGACCGGGGTCTTATAGCACATAAGATTTTTTCCTGTTTGTCCGATTTACTGATGATTTTTTTTTTCTATATTTTCCTACCTAGACCGTAACGAAGCATCGTTTGACGATTTTATGGCAGCCCTTTCTTCATAAAATAATTTAAAAACTAGACCTGATTTCCAATATTATTTATATTTGTATGTTGCATCAACGTTTTGTTTTAGTCATAAATGCAAATAAAAAGTAGGTTTAGATATTATTAGAACAAAAAGTATTTTTTTAATAATTTTATTAAAAAATTCTACCAGATTCATTAACGACGATTATTCATTATATATTGAAGATATAAGAATTAAACCACAATATAACTGACATACCGTACTAATTAAAAAGTGGACAAATCATTCAAGGATTCGCTTACAAAGTATATCCAAACTATATACATTGCCATCGGATGACTTTTGCCCACCCTAGACCAATCTTAGTAAAACTTCAAAGATTTATATCTCGGCTCCAAAACATGCTACAGCAACCAGCGGGATATGATTTTAAAGGTCTTTTGTAGAGCTTTCGAACCGTATGAAATACATATGAATAAAATCAATTTTTCCGTCTTTTCTCTCGAATTTTAAAGCGATGTACTTTTTCGGGAAGTTATCGGACAAGAAAACTAGACATATCATTCAAAAGCTCATTTGAAAAGCTACAAAATTCATATGCGAGAAAATTTTTGAAACTTGTTTTTTACGAGCTACATATCGTTTTACAAAAAACTGACCTTTTTATAAAATCTGTTGTATCTCTGAAAGTTGTGATTATGAAAAATACTGTAAGAGAAAAATATGTTACATTTTTCAAGGATTAACTGCCTATTAATTGGAAATATAAAAAACAAACATTTTTTTTTAATTTTTTAATAATTTTTTTAGACAAAAAAATGTGTTTAATGTATAAATACATAATACAAAAGAAAATTCGAATAGACAAAGAAAAAAAATGTTAAATTAAAAAAACGTTCAATTTATGTATTGGTTTTGTTATAGTTTATTATTAGTGTTAAAAATGTAGTCAGTCGATGATGATTAGTATTAAAAAGTGTAGCTAGTTTGATATAAAATTGAAACTTCAACAATTTCTGTGCATGTTTGTACTGCGACGTTTTATATGTTAAAAAATTAATTTGTGTTATTAAAAAAATTTGTTTCACATTAAAAAATGAAAAGGAATTGACAAATTAATATAGCAATTGTGTTATTTTCGTTGTTAATAATCTAAATTTTCTTTTATATAATAATTTTATACATTAAACACAATTTTTTGCTTAAAATTTATTAAAATGCAAAAAAAAATGTTTGTTTTTTATATTTCCAATTAATAGGTAGTTAATCCTTGAAAAATATAACATTTTTTCTATTACAGTATTTTTCATAATCACAACTTTCAGAGATACAACGAATTTTATAAAAAGGTCAGTTTTCTGTAAAACGATATGTAGCTCGTAACAAACAAATTTCAAAAATTTTCTCGCACATGGATTTTGCAGCTTTTCAAATGAGCTTTGGAATGATATGTCTAGTTTTCTTGTCCGATAACTTACCGCAAAAGTACATCGCTTTAAAGTGGAGAAAAAAGACGGAAAAAATTGATTTTATTTATAATGTCGCACAATCTATAAAAAAAGAAAATCATATATGTATTTCATATGATTTAAATGCTCTACAAAAGACCTTTAAAATCATATCCCGTCGGTTGCTGTAGCATGTTTTGGAGCCGAGATATAAATCTTTGAAGTTTTACCAAGTTTGGTCTAGGGTGGGCAAAAGTCATCTGACAGCAGTGTATATAGTTTGGATATATTTTGTAAGCGAATCCTTGAATGATTTGTCCACTTTTGAATTAGTACGGTATGGCAGTTATATTGTGGTTTAATTCTTATATCTTCAATATATAATGAATAATCGTCGTTAATGAATCTAGTAGATATTTTTCATAAAATTATTAAAAAAAATATTTTTTGTAATAACAATTTTTAAGCCTAGTTTTTATTTGTATTTCCGATTAAAACAAAACGTTGGTGCAATGTACAAATATAAATTCTATTGGTAATCAGGTCTAGTTTTTAAATTATTTAATTAAATTAATAAGAAGAAAAGGCTGCCATAAAATCGTCAAACAATGATTAGTCTCGGTTGAGGTACAAAAATTTATGACCTTACTGCACTGTAACACCTAATGATGACGGTTCAGGTAAGCAATTATAGGAAACCCGTAATGGCCATTATCCCTTTATTATTCATATTTAATATTCTTGATATTGATCGGAGATAATATTCCCTTTCTCCTTCTTCCTAACCTCTTTCATTATTTTCGTTAAATAATGTATCGAAATATTACATTTTGCAGTTTTTGAAAAATTTAAAATGTTTGTTTTAGTAAAAGATATAATAGTAATGTGCTATATGTTTGAGGACAATGACATTTATTCAAACAGAAGCCAAAAATATATATATGTTTAAAAATAAAATTCAGACTATAAATTCATAGACTGCAAGTGCATTGATGCGTGTTTGGAAATGGAAATGTTAATTTTAATGATGCTTGTACACAATACAATTTTTTGCTCAAAATATTTTGACATGTTTAAAATTATTTGATCGAAATGTCTATTCTATTTTCTCATGATTTACACGAGGTGCATTTAATTGGAAAACACGAGAAAACTTTTATAATAAAGCACAGTGCCCGAGTACTACTTCATCAAACAAATTTGGTTCTTTGTGATGAAATTATTTCATAAATTAATCAAAATAAAACAAAACAATTTTTGATTGTGTTACGATATACTATTTGGATTTTTACATTTTAATAACCTTAACTATTTACAAACTAGGTACTGAATACGTTTCGCGTGCTTAGCACACGTATACGTAGATTATACTCAGTGAAAAAGAGCATAAACTTGGATGTCGTGTACGAGTGAGAACGTGATTTATCACCCGCTGCGATAGAACACAATGGTACATTACGATACGTGTTCCATGTCAAGAAAAGACATATTTGTTAGAAGGAAATCTCAAATAAAAATGTTATTCTGACTTGGGCGAATACGTCATAAAAAATCGAATAATGTTTTCCCGTTCTTGTAACGTAGTATATATACTATATTACTCTTTTTTATAGTATATCACTTCGTACTTTTACATCGGGAGATGAGCGACGTATGAAGGAATTTCGATAAACATAATAATTTTAGGTTTCACGGTATAACAATATCATATACAATTAGTTACTTGTTTTAATAGATGTTCCGTTTAATCATCCCGTTGAAAATAACTAAACCGAATTACGAACTAAGCTATGAATCAAAAGTCCTCTTAATAAACCGGTCAAGAAAATGAAAATTCCTATCAAATTTTTATGTAATAAACAACTTATTCAATTAAAATAACAAAATGTTATTGATTATATTTTGATGTTTTGTTAAGATACGTAAATTTTGTCTAAATTTTGTTCACCACGTTATAAAAATCATACTCTTCCACTGTTATTTTAAAACAGATTAATCACTCAAATACTAGAACAAAAAGCAGTATTTTTTTATACATACCGTTGAAAGTAATGCAGCATAATTATTGGTATCAATAAATCGTGAACAACAATAATAGATATTTTTCTACGAACATTGCTTTGAGATGCGATATATCATAAATATATTATTAAATGAAGTTATAGCTCATAAAAATTAATTTATATCACAAGATCAATATTTGTTGTTCATATCTTTTAAATTATTTATTAACTTACATAAAAAGTAGTAAAATGTAAATTACCTCTTTTTCAAACTTGTAGGGTTCCGCTATCTTTCGAAGCGTAAAAGGCGATGTTCCGTATGCCCTTAACGTATAATAAATAGTATTTGTTTTTTCATATTGAGATACTACCAAAGTATAACGTTTATCTCGACTTTGCCCAAGGTTAATCTTACACAAGTAATGTGGGCTATTTATTTTCACTCCATCGATATAAGGCAGGGGATAATCTATAAGAATATTTTTTATTTTTATATTTTAATCAACTATAATTTTTTATATTAAAACAATCCGTGATCGAATGCAATTTTTAAGTTATCGATTTATTATTATTATTATGATTTTATTAAAAATATTTGTTCTGTTTTATAGTATAATGGAAAATAACTCACTTGGGTAATAGACTCTTTTTCCATCATTCTGATATACATAGAGCGTAATATATTCCTGATTTTGTCGAAAATCTGCTATGTCAGTAATGTGCCTTGTTAATAAAATCCATACTGAACCGTTAACATCAGGCTGTACTTCCAGTAAAAATTGCGGATTATCACCAATATTAAATGCATCTTTTACGGGACCAGTTCCAGCTTTCCACATTCTGCAATTAAATATATTAAAATAAATAATGTTTTTCAAACAACAAACAGATAATTCTAAATTTACTTGAACTTACTGATGAATACAATAAGTATAATTGAATAATGCAGGATTCCAGTTAAAGTAGAAAACATCAAAGAAATGACAAATACTGTCGAAATCAATCCAAAATATACCGTTGTCAAATTGAGCCGCCGAATCAGGATCATAATTTAAAGTTTCTCGGAGCTCTGCAGTCCAATGATTAGTATCAAGTTCAGAAAAATTCCCTCGCCACCTTAAATGCGACCAAGGATTTTTTAGCTGCAACAATTTTTCTCCCTAAACAAATTTGAGATCATTAAAATGAATTTACAAGTTTAACTTTGATTAAGAATATTAGTAAGTTTTCTCACTGACATTGACTTTTCTAACGTCCAAAACTGCATAAGCGTGACTAGGAACTAGGCCGGTACGATCTGCATCGGCATCTGATAGATCTCCTGTTGCAACTGTAACCAATGTGTCTCCTTTATGAAGTCTTAAAAGTAAAGTATCAAACAAATTTTCTTTATTAAAATCTGGCTCATTAGGTCGTATTGCCCATCTTTCTGGTATCCAGCCAGTAAGAGCATGCAAATCTATATTCTAAAATGTTATAATAATTTTAACTTTTTTTCTAGCAAACTTTAATAAAATAATTTAAAAATTAGCAACTTACACTATTAGAACCAGGAAAATCATACCCTCCCATAACTTTCATATAAGCTTTTTCCAACAAAGAAATCCAAAGTTCTCCTCTGTTGTTGGAGTAAGAACATAGTAGTTGATTATAATGACTAACAGGTAGTAAATCATCTATCACAACTTTTCTTGGAATACCATTGATATGTAGCTTAATCATATATTTTCCTGTAAATAAAATAATGTCAATGAAGTGTAGAAGTACAGGCTGTAGTAAATTTAGGTTCATAATTTACCAAATGGATTATAAATTGGTTCTTTATTTTTATTTTTGGGATAAATAATTGAAGTAATAAGTCTTCTACCAAATTTTTTCTCATACTGTGCACTCACTGCTAAAGAAGCAACAAATGAACAATCAGATACCACCTACGTAAAAAATTTTTCTTTTGATTAAATATTTTAAAATTAAAAATGTTAAATTAAAAACGCTGTAACAATTTAATAGTATTTCGAAATTTTACCGTTTGTTTGATACTGTGATAGTCAACAACATGATTCATGACCATTTTAGGCTCTGAAAAAATTTCTTCTGGCCGGCTCCATCGGGCAAAGTCAGGTTTTTGTTTTGGTGATAACTCTAATAATCCATCTTTATCAGTAAATGGAATTGCATATTGGAATCGTTCTGATAAATCTACATTCATAAAAGGCACAAATTCATTATCATTAATATGTGAGCTATGTAATAAAACTCTTTTCTCTTCTTCTGTATAATTTCCACTTCCTCCAGTGACTTTCAAATGAGCACTACTGCCTCTATGCAAAGGAGGTTTGCTTGGTCTTGATGATACTGAAATAAGATATTTTTTTGTTAGTTAATAAAAAATTAAAAAACATTTTTTATTATTTATTATTGTTTAATACCTGGACTAGTTTGTGATGTAGCAGTAGTATTAATAGGTGGTGGTTCATTTGGTTCATTCTCTATAGATTCATCATCTATGGGAAGTTCTGTTTCAGGTACTGATGGCAAATTTGGTATAACTGTTTCTACCTCATTTTTTTTTATTCCTTTTAATGATTCAGCTCTATCCAAAGCATGACGAACAAGATTTGTAATTTTAGTTTTTTCATTACTTGTTGCTTTCTAAATATAAATTAAATTTAAATTAATTTTTATCTACATATTGCTATAAAATGAAATTAAATCATACAGCTTTCAGGCCTAGTTCTGCAGCATTTGTATAAAGTTTTATAGCTTCTTCTTTAAAACCTGCTTCGTCAGCATCAAGAGCTTGATTGAGTAAAAATTTACATTTTTGTAGTTCAGTTTCAGTGGGTATTTCTGATTCATGTTTTTTTCTTTCTTCATCTAAAACTAAAAAATTTATTTTCGTTTTTTTGAATATCTGAATAAAAATCGTAGATATATACATAATATAAACACAAGTTTTGATCAAAACTCACTTAAGTTTTGTAATTCTGCTATTCTATCTTGATACTCTGTACACTTCTCTGCTAATGCAGGTACGGTTGATAAATTATTTAAAAGTCGTACAGCAACGGAATAATAATAAACAGCCTGTTGATACTGTTCATTTTTGTCAAAATCTACTGCTCTTCTTGCTGCATCCAATGCAGCTTCCAGTGTTTGATCCATTTGTTTATACTCAATAGCTAGGTGTAAGATATTCAGAAAAATCTTAAATTTCTTAGTATTAACATAACTCTTTCTTCTAATGCAAATAACTTAACAATGCGACTCATTAGATTTTCATTTTATTAGTCATCATCACAGCTAAAACTGGTGTCTGCTACTGCTATATACTACATATATACATAAGATTCGCGAGAGGTATGCATTGTTTTTCTTTAGAGGTTATGTTGACAAACGTTACAATACTGTCACTCACGCACACACAGATTATACTGTGTAGTTACGCTGTGTGCTTTTACTATGCACTAGCTGTTGCAGAATAGCTGAAATAAATATTATTGTTGTGAAAAACTTTGAAAACTAAACATTTTTTAATTCTGTGAGAGCAGATTTATTTAAAACTACGTTATTAAACTCAATTAAATTTTGAAATATAGGTAAATACGTTATAGTTTGTGTAATATGATCAACAAATGAAAGTAACCGGCAAGCGAAGGCCTATGGGAAACGTTTTAATTGTATTTTATTGTATTAACGCGTATTAATGAAAAAAGTTATTTACAAATTCACTAATTAACAAACAATTTGATGTAGGCATCAAATAAATTTGTATTATAATTTGTATAAACAGTTAAGGTGCAAACAACACAATTAAAGTTAGGTTATATTGTGATTTTCGTAATTTGTAAACAAATTAAATTTTGAGAACTGCGTAAGTTATCAAAGTAGAAATATGGTTGTCAGTGAACATATACATTTTTTTATATAATATACCATTTTACAGATACAATAAAAATTTGATTTAAAAGGAGATGATTAGTGGAAAATACCGTTTCAATTATATCCATGAATTATTGTGGCAGAAATGTTATTATATTATAAATATATTAGAACATGTAATGTCATAAACAAGTTGTCCAACATTTCTTATTCATTTTTTCTGCATCATAAACGTTCCAATGTTTTAAAATCTAGTAAGAAAGTTTGTGATACAAAATGTTTGATATTGTGTGTTAACAATTGAAATCATCATGGTTCCTATGAATTAATCACTAACATTGATTTGAATGCTTAGACACCACTTTTGTTACTTATTTACTAAATTTATTATCATATAAAGGGAAACGTAACAGCTAAGTCGATTTGCCCGATTGTGTTGACCAAGTCGGAAAAACGCCAAAATTGTATTTTTTTTTAAATCGTAAATAAAAACGGAATTCTTATTATCAAATTAAGTTTTTACGAAATTTATTTGTGCGGGTTCTACTTGCGAATGACACAAATTGTGCCCTTATACTGCGTAATTAATATATTTTTTAACAAACTGAAATTGGAATTGAACTGAAAATACTGTTAAATTTGTTGTGTGGTCCGAAGACGAAAAAAAAAGATGTTACAACTTAAAGATAATATTTTTTTCAGGTAATTACTATAGTTCAAGAATGGATGGTCGCCATATCACTAATCCTTATGAAGATTATTCAGAAGGCAAATCAAAAACGGTTCTAAATAACAGTGGCAAAGACGTTAGTACGAAAATTTATTAATAATTCTGTATACAAGTAATTTTAATGAAAGACATTACTGTTCAGATTAATGACGAATTTCGAGAAAAATTGACTGTAGGGACAAAATTATTATTACAAAGATTGGAAGATCATAAAAGATATTGGTACAGTAAAGATGATACATCTCTTTACACAGGGTTGCCTGGAGTTGCTTATACCCTTTACCACTATGGCAAATATTTTGAAGATCAAAATTATATTACTGTAAGTTAAAAATCTATGCTTTTAAGCAAATTAATTTACTTTATTGTATTTCATGTAGAAAATGTTTTTATTTATAGAGAGCTGGAGAATTAATAGGAAAATGTCTTGATGGGTTAAGAGGCAAAAGACATGTGACATTTTTGACTGGTAATGCCGGTCCTATTGCTTTGGGAGCAGTAATTTATCATTTGCATGTTGATAAAGAAGAGTCAAAAAATTTGATTTCTAAGTTAATTATTGAAATTAATTAGGTTGTCATTTTTTAAACTGTATTGTTAACTTTAATGTTATTTTTTTAGATTGAAAGCATTATCATCATATGTTGTTGATGATAGTAGCGGCTTGCCTGATGAATTACTTTATGGTAGGGTAGGATACTTATACTCATTATTGTTTGTGAACAAACATATATTGCCGGCTCCCATAGAAGAAGATTTAATCAAACAGGTTTGCTTACTTAGTATTTTTAATGTAGAATATTTGCCAACATTTACTATGTTTTTCAGGTAATACAATGTATATTGAGTTCAGGAAATAATTATGCAAAAGCTCGCGGGATCAATTCTCCCTTGATGTATATGTGGCACGATTCTGAATATTTGGGTGGAGCTCATGGCTTGGCTGGAATATTGTATTTATTATTGCAAGTAAATATCATTTTACAAGATTCTGTTTTATTTTATTTAAAGTTTTACATTAAACTATTGTAAAATATAATTTTCTAGGCTAAACAATACCTCACAGAAGATCAATTAAAAAATGAAATAGAGCCTTCATTACAATGGCTTGAGAAATTGAAATACCCATCTGGAAACTTTCTTTCATCTGTAGGCAGTACGACAGATAAATTAGTACATTGGTGTCATGGAGCACCTTCAATGACTATGTTATTCACTTTAGCATACGAAGTAAAACAAACATTTTCAGTTGTGCTTGTCTTTTTGAAATTACTATGACGTTTAAAAAAACACTTATTTTCAATTTTATTTTCCAAGATATTTCAAAAAGAGCAGTATTTGGATACCGCTGTGCAATGTGGAGAAGTTATATGGCAACGTGGATTACTGAAAAAAGGATGCGGTATATGTCACGGAGTTGCTGGAAATGCTTATTCGTTTTTAAATCTTTTCCAATTAACGAAGGTTTTTTATCACATTAAAAATAGTATTTTATTTTATTTAAAATAAAATCATGAAAACTATTAATTTCAGGATCCCAAATATCTTTACAGAGCTTGCAAGTTTGCCGACTGGTGCTTAGATTACGATACTCATCAGAGAAGACCAGCCGATCGTCCATTTTCTCTATTTGAGGGTATTTAATTTATGTTTAAAATATTCTCATGACTATGCACGGGAATAACGAATCTCTTTATAATATACAACATAATATTTTTTTTTCAGGTTTAGCAGGAACAATTTATTTTCTTGTTGACATTCAAAAGCCAAATGATGCTAAATTTCCTGGTTATACTTTATAGAATAGAATCTTATTAAAGAATTTTTCGCTTTAGTCATTTACTCACATGTATGCTTCATCTCATTAAATATATATTTTCTATTTTATTTCATACATAAATATCTTTAAAATTGAATTGTATTAGTGCTCCCAAATTTGATCATCATTTTTAAACGAATATTCAAAATAATATTCTTAGAAAACCCGTACGTAGAGTCTCCGAACCTAACATATTTTAAAAATAAAGACTATTAAGTACCACTTTATATTTTATTCTTATTCGAAAATACGTAAGATTATAATTCCTATTGAACATCAATTTTAAAATAAAGAGCATGACAATTTATTTCTTTGATATTTTACTTTAACATATTATGCATTTTTGCTGTAGAATCATAACAATAAGGAATAAGTCTCAAACTATCCAAATTACGTTAAAGCGGTATGATCTGTTGTTGATTTCTGACTTTATGGCTAGATATAGTGCGTGGAGCATTTTAATTACGAGCGTGCACTTCCATCGAACTTTTTATCACCCTTGAAGAGATAAGCTTCTCTCAATTATATATAAGACGTTGCACTTGGCTTCGTTGCTTTATTGACGGTTCGATAGCGTGACTAGACTGAAAAATGAACTGCACTAAATTATTCGTATCCAGACGAACGGTTTTACCTGAAGGCGTCAAACCGGCGGTTCTTGTTGTGTCTAACGGAATAATTGAAAATATAATTACTCTTAATAATGACAGTGAAATCAACTCAGCAATAGAAGTAATTTTGTTATCGTAAGAAACAAAATCTTGTTAAGGAGAAAAAAATGTTAAGGATAATCTGTCTTATTAGAGATATGCAGGGGCTGAATGTGAAGATTTTGGCAATTTAGTTTTAATGCCTGGTATAGTTGATTCTCACGTACATATCAATGAACCAGGTCGTACTCAGTGGGAAGGTTTTTGGACGGCAACACGAGCTGCAGCTGCCGGAGGAGTAACTACACTTATAGATATGCCTCTGTAAGATTACTTTATAGTTTCACGGAAAACTTTTATTTATGAAAATTTGTTTGCAGTGATTATAGTCACTAAACTGAACGCGCCTTAAATAAAACAAGGTAATTGTTGCGCAAAGAAATTACGAAAAGAAAGTGAACAGTGGGATTGTAATAACTGTAATAAGTTTTAACTTTGGTGAAAGGATTCTTTCTAAATGAGTGTATAATTTTCATAGCTAATTTTCATTTTCTTAAAATAAAGAAGTGAAATACAGATAAGCTCAAATTCTTAAAACCATTCAAAATTATTTTAATTGATTTGGCAGTCAATTTTACGACAGAAATGAATTGATATTAATTGTTTATGTGTGTTAACTTTTCAAAAAAAATCTTTAAATTCGATGTTATATTTCAGGTTTACCATTTTTGCATTTCAAACTTTATTTATTTCACGTATGAGGGGTATTCACTTTTATAAATGCTTTTAAAGATTTATTATATTATCCGAATTTGTATGTCATAATCAAAATCATCAACTGTAGATATGTATCGATAAATTTACGTTTTTTTAGTGCTCGCAGCACGTATTTTTTGTACACTATCAATCCTCGATGGAATTGCGTAAATATATGTGAGAGCTTATCAGAGAAACGGTAACCGATAAGATGAAATTTATCCACGTATAAAAAACGAGATATATGTAAAAAATCATCTAGAGAGCATTGACAGCAATGTCATAAAGACCATTGACAGCAATGTCACGGACGAGTATTGTTACAATAAGCTTATCGGTTTATTGTTTTGAATAACGAAATGCAGACAAAAATATAGATTCGCATAAATTTATCGCTAGTTTACAATGAAAATGCTACGATTTTACTGTAATAACATGCGCATATAATAAAACTGATATTACTGTGGCATTAAATAGTAATATCGTTTGATTTACAAGTTGCAAATATTACTTAACAGTAACAATACTTAAAAAATTTCTCGTTCATTGTACGATGGCTTTTCAGATATAACAAGCACCTCATTTTCAGTAAATATGTTCTCAATTTATATAGAAGTGATTATGTATAATTTTAAAATAAGCACAGCTGTGCGTGTCTTTTATATTATATATATATATATATATATATATATATATATATATATATATATATATATATATATATATATATATCAATGCGACCTATTTCAACTAAGAGCGGTATTATTTTCAATCAGGAATTCTACGCCACCGACGACAACCGTACAAAATCTAAAATTGAAAGTTGCTGCCGCGCAAAATAAAACATTTGTGGACGTCGGCTTTTGGGGTGGCGTTGTGCCCGGAAATCGAGTGAGCGAAATCGATCAACTAATAGCCTAGAATATGATATTCTAGCGCTGACAATTGTTTCCTTCGTTGTGCAGCACGAATTAAAACCACTTGTAGAGGCCGGAGTCGTCGGGTTTAAATGTTTTCTAATTCCTTCCGGCATCCCCGACTTTGGATACGTTCAGAAAGAAGATGTGGAGCAAGCTTTGGCTGAATTGCAGCACTTGAATACTACTTTGGCTGTAATGCATTGATAAAAATATCTGCAAATTATTTTGTGTGTCATATCAACTTGCTAACGTTCTATACTTTCATATCCTTTTCAGTTTCACGCAGAATGCGAGGAAGAGAAAGTCGAAATATCTCCACAAGGTTTTGTGTAACTCTACGCGTATGGTTATTTTAAAAATTTTAGAACCGCTTTTCAGAGTAGTAATGATTTTTCACTTGTCGATTGCTATAATTACATAAATGAAAATAGATAACGAACTATAAAAGATGAGATACCGTTATTTGTATTTTTGTTATAATAAGGTATAAAAATACCAAATTTTTATATAAAAAAATTATTGTTCCAGATGATCTTGCTAGTTATGGCGTTTATCTAAAAACCTGTCCCGAAATAATGGAAGTTAAAGCGATAGCAAACGTCAAAAACTGGTGTGAATCTTATAAGTAAGAAAAAACTTCTAAACGGCGTTTCAAATAATATATTTCGATAATCACGTAATCATGCAGATCTAATCGAGCGATTTTCTTTATCTCTAGGTGTCGATGTCACATAGTTCACTTATCATCGGCTATGGCATTAAGCTTAATTAGAGAAGCAAAACAAAAGCAACTGCCTTTGACCGCAGAAACTTGCTTCCATTATCTTTCTATATCAGCCGAAGAAATCCCCCCTGGTGCTACGCAGTTCAAATGTTGTCCACCTATTAGGAACGAAGCTAACAGGGTTTGTGATATTTTTTTAGTAAAAGATCATTTTATCGTGCAAATATTTTTAATAATTAATACACTACAGCCTGAAATAGTGAAATTATTTATCGTTTATTTTAAAAGATTTGTATTACAAATAAGCAGTATAATTTTTAATTTCGCATTTGATATACAACATTTCCACTGAATTATTCCATAAAAGTGTGAAAAAAAAAAAAAAAATTGTATTATGCAATGACAGGAAGAGCTATGGGCGGCTCTGAAAGACCATACCCTCGACATGGTCGTATCTGATCATTCACCCTGTACGGAAGATCTCAAGACTAAGGGGAATTACTTGACGGCTTGGGGAGGAATTTCTTCGCTTCAATTCGGCTTAGCACTGCTATGGACTGAAGCTCGAAAACGAGATTTTGGCTTGCAAGATATCGTTCGAGTCCTCTGTTCCGGGCCTGCTAAGCTTAGCGGCTTTGACAGTCGAAAAGGCTCTCTGCAAATTGGAATGGATGCGGATTTCGTTATGTGGAATCCCGATGAGACAATCGAGGTATTTGAACACACGACATTGGCGCATGATTTTTCGTGTTATTAACGCATGTAAATCAAAAATTGCTAAGAACGATTATAATTATTTGAACTGATTTTGTAGGTGCAACGTTCAGGAACTCTTCACAAAAATACTGTGCGTGTTCACGTTGTAATACATTATTTATCTAAACCCGATCAATGTTTCCATATCCGTGAATCGATACAAGCCGAAAGTAACGCAAAGCAATTGCATTTCAGCTCAGTCCTTATATAGGAAAAAAACTCTTCGGAAAAGTGTGCGCAACTGTCGTTCGTGGCAGCTTGGTTTACAAAAAAGGGCAGTTCAGCGATCAGCCACTGGGACAGCTTTTGCTGGAGGACGCCTTCTTATCGGAAGCATAATTACTGCTTCGTTACCAAAAGTTTTTTACATTAACAACTTATGTATGCCTCGAGGATATATTAAATATTTATCGCCGTCTTATCGGTGTACGAAAGTTTTTATAATCTATTGCGTTACTGAAAAACAAAATTACAATTGTCTCGACGATACGAATATACGATATTGAAGTGCAATATAAACAAACCTTAACGAAAAGCAACGACATAATCGATGACTGCAGCGCCGAATCGGTGACTCCGATTTTTTTCGGTAGTGCAGGTTGTCCTTGAAAATAACTTCGGAGCGTAGCTGAGCCGAATCATTTGAATCGTTGACGTCACATCGCCACTATTACGTCATAGCTGTATGATAATTTAATGGGCACATACATATGTACATACGTTAATCGCAAATTTTGCCTTTCATTCGATGCTGCTTTTCCTGTACCGCTAAACTCGCCTTTGTTCGACGACACTCATGTCGTATCGGCGGCTTTTCGCTTTTCACGCCCTGGTTGTTTATCAAATGATAAGACAAGCTTTTGGAATCCAAACTGCGAGAATTTTACTCATTTATATATATAAATAAATTGATGACTATGATATAAGACGAGGTGCAAATTACACCGAAAGACATCAGCATTCGACGAAACAAACAATTATAAATTTGTAAGAACTTCTAACCAAATCCTGTTTCGAATTTACTTAGCGTCTCGGAAACTAGTAGAATGAAAAATTTAATTAATCAAGTTTTCTAGCGCAAACGATCGGAGTTTGTTATTTCACGCGTGAACAAATCCACTGTAACATTGAACCAAAGACATTTCAACGCTTCGTAATACGATTCGATAGCTGATTTGTTTTGCCACAGGTCTGAGGAAGCAACGGCTATTACGACTATATATATATATATATATATATATATATTGGTATTAGTATTTGTATTCGAGAGGAAGAAGATGCCGTAGAGAGAGGGACTTTAGTCTCGTTCGTTGCACGTGTGCGTGATATCAGCCTTTCGCTCTCCCGGGCGCGCAGCTAACTCGCGTCATCGGCCGATGACGTCAGCGGCTCTTTCTTGCCCGGCGCGTACGTTGCCGAGTGAGAAACTTATGTACCAGCTTCGGATATTATTATAGGTTACGAGCACCAACGTGAGAACGCCCGCGTGTTCGCAAAACTTTCGTCTTCTTACTCTTGCAAGCCTGCCCCCCGTCCAAAATACGAAGTCTTTGCGCATTGCTGAACTTCGCACGCAGACACCTGCTCCCTCTCTTCCCGCGAACAAGTGAAAAAAAACAAGTCTGATCCGCATCTGGCTCCCGTCTCTCTCTTTCTCTTTCTCGCGTCAATAAACAGCGTGTAAGCACGGGCCACTTATATATAGCAGACGAGCGGAACGGAGAAATGGGATATAGAAAGATCGCACGCGCGCGTATTAATTTTCCGCGTGGCGATGCAGCGAGGAGGCGTGAAAAAAGAAGACACCGAGCTTTTCTGGGAAGATTCTAGAAGTCCATCGCTGCCTGGGCAGCGCGAGCGAACTTGTTGCGCTGTCTGTCTCTCTTTCTCTCTCTCTACACATATGAGTCATTCTTCGTCAATTTTTCCACCTGCGTGATGTGTTGTCGCGACTCTCTCTCTCTCTCTACCGCATGAGAAACAAGAGTGCGAGAGATAAGCGCCGCTCGATTGTTCGCGCGGCAAATGTTTAATTAAGGCGAGCGCGCGGGCAACCGCGATCAATTTGTCATGCTATATGTACACGCCAAGCTGTGTCTCTATGTAAACAAGCAGACGGCCAATATCAGTCGGCTGTGATACAAATGTCGAAGAAAAAACTAGCTAGTCGCGCCAGAGCGATTGCATGTGTCTTCAATAATCGCGAAAGAAAAGCCGGAAAAGCAGTGGTGCGTACAACCTTCAAGGTGTTTTCTCGAGAGAGAGGGAAAGAGAGAGAGAGAGAGAGAGCTGCCTGTACGGGATTGTTTTCCAACACGTACACATGTACACGGAGTCGCTAGTCGATAAGAGGCTGCTCGTTGTAGAACGAAACTATATAGAGGGTTTACAGGCTTCGAGGGAGTCGTAAATTACTCCAACCGTGGGTGCGTACGTGTGTGTTGCGAAGGGAGGGCTACACGCGCCGAGGGTGAACAGAAAGTAGTTAGATGCTATTGGGGCGCACGTGTGCGTGCGCGTGCGGACAGGCGAAAGCGCGAAAGAAGGCTGTGGACGGAAGGGGGAGTTGCTGCTCGGGTGGGGGTCGGCGGCCATTTTGTTGGTGACGCGCAACTCGGAGGTCGTGGGCTCCACCAGTGACGAAGCCACTGGAGTTTTGACGTGGCTGCTACGTACCTGCCCGTTTGCCCACTCCGATTGCAGCAAACTCGGTGACGAGAAATACGTAACTGGTAAGTACCCAGCTGGAGAATAATAACAGTCGGGCATGGACCGCGCTCTGCCAGCAGCTATTAGCCCCGCAGCTATTAGTCGCTGCTGGCTCGACACCTAGGGAGTAGACCTTCACTGTGCTACTCTCTTCTGCACTTCTTTCTCGCCAGTTCTCTTTGCTGCTGTTGCTCCGAGTAGTAGCCGACGACGTATCTCTCTCTGTCTCTCTCTGTCTATCTCTGTCTATCTGTCTCTTTTTCTCTCTCTCTCTCTTTCTCTCTCTCTCTCTCTTTCTCTCTCTCTCTCTCTCTATCTCTCTCTCTCTCCTTCTCTCTCTCTTTTTCTCTCTTTCTCTCTCTCTCTCTCTTTTTCTCTCTCTCTTCGGCTCGCGCAATGCCGCCGGAGAGAAACGAGCGTGACACTCGCCAAAATAATAGCTAAGTCGCCACGAAGTACCCGGACGGACGAACGGACGGATTGACGGACGGAGGAAAAGCGCGGGCGTCCGCCCACCCGCACGAGTCCAACCTCGAGGACGGCTTTCGTCGTGCTCTTCCTTTGTATTCCTGGGCGCTGCCCCTGCCGGAGATGACAGCTTTTACATCGTGTAGTGTATGACCACCGCTTCGGAAACTCCGAACTTGTACCAATCGAACCAAGCATCGCCACACATTGTTTACCGGGCACCACCAACGTCCAGCACCACAGTGGCAACTCGCTATTTTTAGACACCTTCGTTCTCTGTTGCTGGCTATCGCGCCTCATACTCGCGCGTTCGCTTATGTAAAAGCCGCTCTCTTTTTCGCGCTCTCTCGTTCCCGTCCATGCCTGCGCTACCGAGTTTTTTCTTGTTACTGGAGCTGCCGTAACGAAAGAACTTGAGCATTGACGATGGCGCGATTTACAGGGCACGCGGTCCCCGGGTTATGGAAAGCATGGTCGAAGAAAACGGATCAGCTGTGGACCCACTGGCGCAGGGATCTCAAAGCGGCGAAACCGCACCGACGATTGTAACATCGGTACAGTCCTCTTACAATACTACTAACCATCAGCAGCTCAATCAACTGACCGCCTCCACCAGCATTGTGCAACTTGCGCTGCCCTCTCCCGCTAATGCCCAGGTATACAGGATACAACTCCTGTGTATCGTACTTCCGCCCCTGCCTGTTTTTTGTATTTTCTTACCTTCTTGCAATTGTACCAAATTTTATTTCGCAATATATTCGTTTTCATCAAAGCATTGCCCTCAAGTCAAGCATGTCCTGTCACCATCCATACCATCCTCAATATGTTCGCATAATGCTGGTATTATTTCTCTTCGAGTCGATAACAATAGTTTCGCAATCTTTTGTCCTTTTTGCTCAAGGTACCAAGAGCGACAATTTTATATAGTGCACATTAATGTTGTATACTGCTCACTTTAATGTTAGCTTAGTTTGTTGTATAAATCAAATTCTGTTTTTCTAATTTCTGTTTTTACTATTTATCAGGTACAATCAGTCATACAACCTAATCAACAGTCAGTTATTCAAACAGCCACAAATATTCAACCTGTTGCCTTGTCCAAAGGAAATGTCATTCTTGTCAGTAAACCTAATTCAGTCATTCAAACAGCTCAAGGAAGTCTACAAACACTACAAGTATTGAATCAGTATATTTGTTTTATCAAAATTTCTTACAACTCATTATTGTTGTAAAAACAATTATTACAGGTTGTTGAAACGGCCAGTGATGACAGTTATTCTGATGACGAATCCCCCAAGAAAAGGAGAGATATGTTATCAAGACGACCTTCCTATAGGAAAATACTAAACGATTTAGGTGGTGGTGAAATTGCTGGTAAGAATTTTTCTATCATTACAATTAGCTTGAGTATCTTATTATTTTTTGCCGATTATATAATTTTTCAATTTGTGTAAAATTATAATATACATTAGAAAATTAAAGCCTTAAGCAATTTTTCCATTTTAATTTTTAATTCTAAACTATCGGTGCATGTCAGTTCATACTACCGATAAAAAATCATTGGATTTTTGGTGATAGGAAAAATGATAATGGATTTATTGCTAAGGACGAAAATGCCATACCAAGCTTTTTCTTAACGTGATAATATTTTTGAGCTCTGGATTAACTCACTGGTACTTGGAATCAACCATTACATTCCCAATCCTAATGTGTTGTTTTGCACTCACTATGTATTATTGTTTTATTTGTGTATGATCTGACTGCACAAAAAAAATTTTTAATAAAGTGTTCAGTGAAAATTGATTAGATATATGTACATTATTATTCTAAGTTAAAATGTTACTTATATTTTATATTTTATGATTCACGTATTTGTTTCTGAATCTAAAGTATTAATTTTTTTTGCAATATTATCAGATTTATTACTTTAACAAAGTTCAAAGTAAGTTTTTCTCAAACTGAATAAAAAAAGGGGCTTCCATTCATTCGGTGTTACAGAGACTCGTTTGCCCCATTTAGAATCTTCTTCTGAATGTGACTCTAATGTGGACAGTGAAGTGTCTTCCCATTCACTCCATTACCAAACAGGTTGGTTAAATTTACTTGCTATGAAAAATATCAGCTTTCCTAGTTACCCGTAATTTTCCATTCCTGTGTTCAATTGATTGTGTATACATTGGTTATTCCTTGCAATGTTCACATGTCTGGTCTGTCCAATGACATTGAGAAAGAATATTAATTAATTTCAAAACTTGGTGTGGCACTGTCGCTTATGGGCTTGAATATTGTTCAATATTTGTAATAGTCTACATCTTTTCTTTATTCCAGTTTTGTACATATAATTGAAATTACAGTTCTTTTACTACATTAGGCTTGAAAGTTAGAAGTAAATAAATAATCTTTTGTTTTATGATAGTCATACCTGCAGGAACTATACAAATAGCAACTCAAGGAGAAGGTGTACCGGGTCTACATTCATTAAGCATGAGTAACTCAGGAACAGCCGGGGGCACTATAGTACAATATGCACAGGGGCAAGATGCTCAATTCTTCGTGCCAGGTTTGTATAACTTGAGTTTTCACATATAGAACAATAAGCTGTAGAATTCTTTTGAAAATAGACCTTACATTTCATTGTATCCTCACCACATAAAGTTTAATGATTCTTTGTGAATTCATGCTAATCCTTGTTTATAATATATGTGAATCAATAAAAAAGTATGATATTTTAGCAAGTGCTGGTCACGGGGTTGTTGTTGAAGATGCGGCTAGGAAGAGGGAAATGAGGCTTCTCAAAAATAGGTATTTTGCAGAATTTCTATTTGAATGCCTTTAAGTGATAGTAGAAATAGTGTATTGATTTTATTATTAATTTTTCAGAGAGGCAGCGCGCGAGTGTAGAAGAAAAAAGAAAGAGTACATAAAGTGTTTAGAAAATAGAGTTGCAGTGTTGGAAAATAGAAACCAGACTTTAATCGATGAATTGAAAACCTTGAAGGAATTATACCAACATCAACAAAAAACCGATTGAGGTTGGTACTTGCTTCTGTGGTACCGTATCTTCATGAAACCGTCGTTTAACAATGAATCTGCACACATGCTGACAATGTCCATTATCATTGATGTTGTGCTAAGAAAAATGTACATGCACTTCTAGATAAGTGTTTCTTGTAACATATTGTATTTATGTACAACTACAAAGGCTTGTGAAACTTGCTATTACTAAAGCGAGAAGCCAAAGTTTACACACAATGCAGAAAACAGTCATACGCGATTAAAGAACATCTTATTTTGTTTGTTTTTTTATATATATTATTACGAACCATTCACGAAATGAATTGTTATGAATAAGACGTAAAATACTTGTCTTTAGTAAGTAGAGCAGTGTTTTTGAAAAATGAATCGCGGAAATTCATTATTTTGCCATATGTACACATTTCCCATTATTTTTTTATTATAAAAACAAAACTCGATGTTTATTTTTTGGATAAAAAAAGGATTAGAATACTTTTTCTTTGTTTTTTAACTCGAAGAACTTTTATTATCACCTAATAGTTAACTTTGTTTTCTTTTTTTATTTATAAAATGAGACAACATCAAAGAATTTACTATTTTTTGACGATGTTCAAGGTCGAACAGTGGTTTGAAGAGATTTGTTATGACTTTTTTTTCACTTCTTCACTGCATAAATATAAAAAAAAACGTCCATGCATTTGTAATGGAAGTTTTGGTTTTAAAAACTATTGAGTAAAATACTACCAATAGCTAATAGTAACCGAGAATATTGTACAAATGAAACAAAGGTATATAATGTACTAAACTAAAATGTACTACTATCGTGTTATGATTGAGAAGATAATATCTCAGTAATGAATTGTATTTTATTATCAACAGTCTATGTTGAATATTGCTTAGAGCATCCATACAACTTTGTCACACTTATAATTATTGTGTTGCACTACTCGGTTGAAAATCATTAAAATGCTCTGAACCGAATGAGACACATTTGTAAAATACAGATGTAATATAAATTTGGAGTGCCTTGCAGATTATAGTGTATGTACCTTTGTGTGCATATGCATATAAATAGAGAATATAAGAATTTACTAGCATATATCAATTAAATAATAATGTATGGAAAGATATTTTTAAATAATTTAAAGCTAAACGTTTTACGATAGATTAAAACGATCTGTAAAGAGATTTTTTGGAGTAAATAAGCATAAAGATGTTTGTATGTTCTCGTTAAGCTAATATTTCACAAAAAATTTATCATTGTGTAAACAAAAAAAGTTGGTGTAGGTTACGTATATTTGTTCAAATTTTACTTTTTATTTTACCTTAAATTATAGTTCCTTCATTGTGCGTTGGGCGCATTTGTGTCGAACATGTTATCATTATAACTAATGTAAAAAAATGTGTCCCAATGTATAACATTTTTTAATGGAAAACTCAGACTCAATGTGACAACAGGTATGTATATACCTACTAGCAAAACTATTGTTGAAGAATAAAACACTCATTTATGCATTAAAACGGATAAAAAGTATGATAAAAAAGACAAGTTTATTTAAGACGTTATTTTTGAAACATGAATTGCAACTAACTGATACATTTTTATCCTATTTTTTTTTGGAAAAAAGAGATCTTTATGAAGATTAAATCTCACTTGTAACTATATGTATAGTATGTGTATATCTTGGTTATTGCGCTTATACTCTAGAATACTGTATATAGAATATGATATATGTATTTTTACATATCATTGGCCTTCTTAAAAAATATAGCTTCTAAATTTATTAACATTACATCTTATTCGTTTCCTGAGCAACAGATTATATATATATGAATATATATCGACCAAACCATGAAAAAATGCAATAGTTGATATAAATGAAAAGAGAAAAATATATCTGTGGAAATAATTTTGTATGAAGGAAAAAAAATAAAAGATGTATATGAAATTATAGAATAAAATTCGCAAATCATTGATCAAACGGTATGATTAAATTTATTTTGTTTTTTTGTCCAATTCTAATGAAAAATTTGTATTTATAAGCTAAATGTAGATACAACTAATTTCTATTTGATATTTTGTAAATATATAAAAATTAATTAGGTATTTGTTTGTAATACCACAATTTGTCAGACAATTAAACAAAAGAATTTCAAAGTACAATTTTAATAAATTTATTATTCTTGAAAACAACATTCAATGAACACCTGTTCACTTTTTCTCAATTATTTTCCAGCTCGAATGCTCGTAATAACAAACAATAAACATTACTTTCTACAATATTTGAGACAACCAAACACTGAGTGTATCAATTTGTTGCTGAACTGCTGCAAAACTCGTACCTCCGTAAGTTTCGTACTGCTCAACACTGTTCTCAAAGTTCCAGATTTCTGCGACATTTTCGTCAAAGAAAGGGCTGCAAGAAAAAGGTTTCAATGTGGCAGTGTCGAAGGCGCTTTGGTACCAATGGAGAGTGGACTCACGAGAAAGTTTGCAGTTGTGAAAGTGGAATCTTTTCTATAGGAATCTTCTCCGTCTCGGAAGCGCTGACGATTTGGCCGACGATGTGATGAGCATTTCGGAATGGAACCTAAATGAAGCAATTGGAGAGAAAGAGGAACTATTCACTGGAGAAATGAAAGGTATATATTGGGACTCACTCCTTTCTTCACAAGATAGTATGCGAGATCGGTAGAGAGCATATCGAGAGTCAAGGCTGCTCGGCACTTGTCCGGATTGACGCTGAACGTTGCGATGCTGCCGTGCACCAGTTGCAGCAGCTCGTAAATCGTATCGAAAGACTCGAACAGTGCCTGTTTGTCTTCTTGGAGGTCCTTGTTGTAAGTGGACGGTGTCGCTTTGAGGGTCGTCAAGAATCCGACGCACTGGAGCAACAAGCGCGTGAGTGAGAGCGAGGGAACGCGAGCTTGCAAGCTACGCAATACGTGCCTTGCCGAGCAGCGTGCCAGACTTGCCGCGAACCAGCTCCATGCTGTCCGGGTTTCTCTTGTGCGGCATGAGGCTGCTGCCGGTGGAGAAGCCGTCGGACAGCTTGACAAAGGCGAACTCCTGGCTGCTGTAGATGATCACGTCCTCGGCCAGCCGGCTGAGGTGCATGGAAAGCAGCGTGGCCCAGTACAGAAAGTCGGCTGCAAGCCACCTAGCGATATACGGCTGAAAGTCGAGCGCGGCTCGCGGCCGCGATCGTCAGTCGCGCAACCCACCGACGAAATCGCGATCGCCGACGGCCTGCATGCTGTTCTCGGTAAGGCCGTCGAAGCCGAGCGAGGTGGCGAGCAAAGCCCGGTCGACGTTGAACGGGTTGCCCGCTACGGCTCCGCTGCCCAGCGGCATGATGTTCAGCATTTTGCGCATCTGGATCAGCTTGCTCGTATCGTTCTTCAGGCTCCAGGCATAGCTGCGGATCAAAGCATGCACGTGCATCATCGATCGCCTGTCGGAGCTCTGCCGAACGATTCTTGCCTCAGAATCCAGTGACTCCAGCGGATCGGTTGAGCGCGCTGCAGATGCGTGTATCCCGGCATTATGACGCTCATGTTCTTCACTGCTTGCGACTGCAGCAGCTTCGAAACGACCAACGTGGTTACGATAGTTCTGGTAGTTGCGCGCTACATCAATCGAACGTCGCGCGTACCTGGATGATGTCGACCAATACGGCTATTAAGACGTCGATGGATTTCCGAAGCCAGAGCTTTGTATCCGTGACAGCCTGGTCGTTGCGGCTCCTGCCGGTGTGAAGCTTGCGAGCGCTGTCACCGATCAGCTCCTTCATCGGTGTGTCAAACGCGCCTTTTATTGTCTATGGCTGAAACTCGCCACCAATTTCACTTACCGTTAGCCGTCTTTCTACAGCGGTATGAATGTCTTCGTCGTCTGCTCGCAACACGAATTGCTCGTTCTGCCATTCTCTGAGAATCTATGGAATGGGATAAGATTTGATTAGAAAGAGAAGATGCGCTCGCAGCAGGAGTGTCGATGCATTTTTATTTACGTGTCGAAGGCCTCTATTGATGAGCACCTGCTCATCTTCGGTCAGTAGCTTTGCTTTGTGCAAAGCTGCCGTATAAGCGATGCTGGCCTGTCAACCACATGCCAATCGAAGGCTCGGAATGAAAGCGAAACTTCCAGTTGATAATGCGATTAGAAGTTTATACCTGAATGTCTTCTTCGTACATACGTTTGTCCAGTCGGATGGATGAGTTAATTTTGTTTAATATTGGGTCAGTACCTTGTTGAAATCGGCCACCCCACAATTTTTCACCTTTGCGCTGTTCAGTACACGATTGACCCCGTTCCCGTTTTGTTGGTTGTTAGAAATACAGTTATTCCAAAGCAAATGGTCATTGAAACAAGTAGCAAACGATACCAAACGAATCACATACATATTATTGTAAATGAAATTTCAATGAAATTCATAAAAAATTGTATAAATGTAGTACGTAATATACTGTATGATTTAATTTTAAAGGTCGGGTTTTACGTTTTTATTTTTTCACTCTTTTTGCTTGATCAACAATATCTAGGTTCATTATCTCATTACTTATAATTATAAGATTATAATCATTACTCGGTTATAATGAAGTTATTAATATTCAGAATTAAGTAAAATCAGAATATTCCAAAAAAACGTTCAGTGAGTAAGCTGATTTAAACTAAGAAAATAAATGATTCTTAAAATCTCGTAGCACGAATTATAGTAAAAAAATGAAGTTCAATAAAATTTATTGACTGTATTGCAGAACAGAGTTTAAAATTATTTCAATTTTAAAAAGTAGATTAAATTTTGACTGCTGCATATACACAAATAAGCAAATAATGATTACCTCTGTCATATTGGAATGATTGTTACACTACGTGTAGCAGACTTGAATAAGAAGTCTTGACGAAAATGTGAGGTTGAATGTCATGAAATAACACTACGGACTTGATATGCTTATCTTTTTCCTTCTATTGAGTGGTCTTATCTGATAATTTCACTTTCCCTCTCTCTTTCTGTTCAAGAAAGCTTTACATAAATAGTGAAAACTGTTAGATAAAAAAAACTTTGATTGATGTTCCAAAACAAGTTCAGAAAATACCTATCACCGACTGATTTCTTATGAGCCATTTTTGACTTATATATTTCGGAAATATTTCAATCAAACGATATTTCTGATGCACTTTATTATTTTTTCTTAAACTGAAATATTTTTTGATAAATATGAAATCCAAACATTAAATTGTCTCTTCTATTTGGATTTACTAAAAATTGATTGCAATTTTTAGTTATTTAAAAGGAATCATAGTCTCATCACGTCTTTGTTATATTGGCAAATTTAACAATCAATTCAAGTTTTTTAATAATATAAATCACGTTATTTGAAAACCAATCTGGTATAAAACTAATTCCTATACAATTCCTTAAGTTCGTTTCATTCAGTAAAGAACAAATTGGGATTAGGATCAGAGTTTTAAATAATTGAAAATGCACTGACAATTTTCTCTGTAAGCACATTTTTTCAACAAGTATCATACATTTTTTTTTATATTTTGAAGTAAAAAATATACTTCTAACAAAATTTTTTTATAAATATGACTATTTCGACTACATATAATATGTCAGTGAATCTATTTTCGTAATTTCAAAACAATAATAATTATAAATGTTACATACTTTGTTTCTGATTTTATAAAGTTCGCAATAAATACATATTGCTTTCATTCATTTACAAAATACAAGTGGAAGAAATCATCGCGCTGATGCATAACGAAAGTAAAGCACTTCCATTACTATACTTCATTTTTATTTTATTCTACGGGAGACTCAAATTGATGAATTTGTAGTAGGTACGTGAGTGAGCACTTGGAAGTGAAATTATAGTATGACAAAAACTGATTACTTAAAAATGAATGACGACACTGTTGAGTAAAGAATATAATAAAAAAAGTATGTTAGTACATAGATCAATATAAAATAACAACGTACAAGTTTATACTTCATTTTTAATGCGAAAAAATTAGTTATACAATAAAGAAATTATTTTTTCATGTCATATCTGTAATGTAATTATAATCTTTGATAACATGTCATATGTATTACTAATTTAAAAATAAAATAGTTTTTTATTACACGAGGTTCGTATGACTATAGTATTGAAATTCGATTTAATATTATACAATTTTTTTAATACAACTCAAGTCAAATTCATTTCATGAAGCATGTACAAATACCATTTCATACACTTACATTTAATAATATTATTTTAATAATATTTATATTTTTACAGAGTATAGAAGTAAATTTATTAATTAGTGCCAGAAAACAATCCTTAAACGGACGTTCCGTGTCGGCCAAGTTCGATATAATTTTATTGAACAGAAAAACTATGACAGTATTCAAGTGAAACAAAATTCACAAATGAGTGTTTAAAGTTTTATACAAGTTTGTCAGGTAAAATTCATGTGTTATAAATTAAAATCAATACGCTGAAATTTGTAATTATTATACAATTTACTGTCTGAATAGTTTTCTCTACATTTGATGTTGTAATCTAACCGACCAAGTTTTATCATTAGCTTTGATATATGCTATTGATTTACTAAAATTAAATTACCAAAATCACTCTGGATCACTCTGTAACATTTCCCCATTAGTTACAACCAAAGAGCTCTCTTCTTCGTTGTATTCATGAGATAGAAGACTTCCTCGTCGTGACTTTTTCTTATAAACCTTTTCGTCGTCACTATTTGGTGCACTTTTGTCCCTTTTTGTCCTATCCCTTCCCCTTGTTGTCCTTGTTATCACTTCTTCCCCGTTTGTCTTGCCACTACTTTTGTTATTAGTTTTAGTCCTTAACGTCCGTTTATTAGTCCTTGATTCTTCATCTTCTTCACGTTCACTCAATAATTCATTTTCTACCTTAATAATTAAAGCTGCTGAATCGCTAGAGCTTTCGTCATTTTGTTGTTCTGATGGCTGTATTTTAGACTCTGTCCGTTCGGGTTTGTCAACACTTGCACATTCACTCGATGCGGATTCCGCTGGTAAAGGTAAAGGAGGAGTCCGAGCACCTTTAAACTTATCACTCTCTTCAATTTTCGAAGGCTTAACATCTACAGTTACATGTTCTTCTGGTTCTTCCTTTTTAATTGGCGGAGTATGAGGTGATAAACCATTTGTTAAATTATTTTCAGTAGTAGTTTTGAGTGATGCATTTTCTTGTTGCAATAGAGTTACAGATTCTCGCGCTTTTCGCAATTCTTGTTGCAAAAATAATATCGTACTTTGCATACCTTCAACATCTTCGTCAAGATCTTGTAAAAACTCATCTAGTTCTAAAAATATATACAAATACAAATGTTAATATACGTGATGAATGAGCATATCTCATAAGAAATTTATCTATGCTAAATTATGGATCACTTACCAGATTGTGATTTCTTAACTTCTTCACTAAAACTTTTTTGTAATGCAAGTTCTCCTTCTAGTTTAGCTGTCCGGCCACTAGAGATCATTCGACCTAAATCTTCATTTTCTTGGTATAATAATCTACATTTGGCCATTAATCTTTTACCAGTATTGCTAAAATGGAAAAAAAAACAATGCATAAAGATCATTTGTAAAAACCACAAAAAATAACATGAATAAAATAAATATTATACCTATCTGGAGTAAACTTCCAAGCACTCAATTCATTTTGGGTATCTTCTAATTTTGCTTTTGTTGTGACCAATTCTTGTCTTAATCTTTGTATGAGAATATTTACAGCTGGATCAAGTAAAGTAGATCTTAGTGCACCGGAGGATGGGACTTGAGAAGCTTTCATTTCGGACATTTGATTCTATTTATAACAAACAATTATGGCATTTGTATTTTTTTATAAAAATGATGTTAGTAATATAATTCACAATGTACTCACTACATATTCTTGAATCTCTTGTTCTTTTGAAGCTAGCCTTCTTACTAAAATTTTTTCTCTATGTGATGCTTCTCCATACTGTTGTCTGTACTTTTCTGTTGACTCCCTCAGGGATGCAATGTTGCCTATAATAAAAATGTTCATATCCATAAAACTTTGACATATTAATAGTATTTCATTCATCGGTTACTATTTATTAAAATTAGGACAGTTAATCTATTTTTAGACGTAGTAAAATGATACTTTTAATAAACTATGGCTAAGAATATTATTTTATAGCCTATCAAACCAGTTTCAGATTCACTTTTCTAAAACGTAAAAGTAACATAGCTAATGTCCTATATGTACTGATATTTGATATGTTCATTGGTTAACATAAAATCTAATAAAATGTGAGTAAAAGCATCAAACAGATAATTGTAAATTGTATCGCAGTGCAAATTTAAGAATAGAACTAGTTGTAACTTGAAAATGGTTTTGTAGTAACACATTCGATTGACGCATACTTTGATTACATGTATCGGTGATATTTCAGCACTGGTTACATCACGGTGAGGTGCTGTGTATTTCTATCATTGACGATTGTAGCAGAATTGGTTCTTACTCCTCCACAGCATTATTGCCTTTACATCATTTCACTTTTAGAATTCTAATACTTTTCATTAAAATGTATATGATTTTAGTATTTTTAAGATCTTTTGCAAAATAAAATAATATGATCAATTAATAGTTAACAAAATTAAAAAGAATAGTGATCTAATATTGTGCAGAAGTGATAAGTGGCAATATGTTTGAGATGAATGAGTAGTACTGTTTTGTAGATGAAGAATTAAAATATGGACCCAAATGCATCTTCTATATAACACACGTTCCAGTTTGCACTTGTAATGCAAAAACAATTCAATTTTCACAATACAGCACTGATCTAACGTTGGTAACTGTGATATCACTAAATACTTTTGAAATTGGTTGTGGCACTATAAATCACAAACATTCCACACCAAATAAAATTTTTATAATCACTTTTTAATGACTACTCACGTAGTTACTACACAGCACATCACCTTCCTAATAAAATCACATAATATTCAAAGCCAAGTTTGGAGATCTATGAAAATGTTGAACTTGATTGTAAAAAGGATAAACAACACTAAGAAGTGTACGTTGTGAATTTGAAAATAAAATATCACTAAAAATGGAATAAACATTTTCATCTGTACACAAACTGAATGTTTCTCTTGTGAGAAAGAAATGGTTGCCAAGTAGAGATAAAGCTTGGCAGTTTTTAAAAGATAACTGTAATGAGTATTTCTCACTGTCAAGAGAGGTCTTAGTACCTTCCATTGTTGTTGTCTGCGTTTCTAGACTTTCCACATACAAGTCCTGCTCCTTCCATTTAGCTAGCAGTTCATCTTTGGTTAAAGATTCTAACTGCTGTTCACTAAGCTTAACCCTTCGAGCTTGTCTAGGAGAGCGAGGGCTAGTAGCTTTACCACTGCTCATACTGTGAGGACTGCGAGATGAGCATGGTCCTGTCGACTTAATTTCGCTGTTTTCTTCTGCCATTTTGATGGCTGTCAGATTTTACCCAGTAAATGAATTCCCCTTGGAATTTTATGTTATTTTTTCTTGCTTTGCACTGTTATTTTCCTAATAGGCAGCACATTGAGGATCCTAAAAACAGAAGATGGACCAGTTAAAATCTAGAAGAGCGTGATGAAAAGAGTTGGGAAAAATGAATGTATTTCTGGTTGTTGATAATAGTTTAGAGACCAGCGAAATAATCTAATAAACCTGTAATATGGTGCTAAGGGATATGGGAGAAGAGGTGTCAGGGTAATGAAAATTTGAGTTTAAGACAAAAAAATCTGCGTTATCTCCCTCACTCTCATACACGCACCCATGCGGTATATCGGTTACAGAAAAATAGAGACACGCACACAAAACTCAACTTTCTGTTGCTTCTTTCCTCGACGGAGAGTAGACAGAGAGTGACAAAAGGGGGAGGAACAAGAGGAATTCAACAGCAGCAACGGCAGGGGACTTGAGGAACCTTGCACTTTCTCTCCGCGAGTCTCTCCATTATGAACATCTGTCTTTTCTTCTCTTTCTCACTCGCACTCTCTGGTTCTCTGTCTTTCTTTCGCTCTGTTTCACTTTGGAGTAGGTGGTCTCTCTCCGCCCGAGGGCGAAGGCAGTGTAGCGAATTTTTGGCGCGTCGGCAACGATTATGCGTGCACATATACAGAGAGCACATACGGAGACAGACTCGTAGATTTGCTTGCTGGCGCACTAGTTCGGTTGGCGGAGGGAGAATAGAGCGCGCGCGGCGGCAGCAGCGATAGCGGCGGCGCTACTTTTTCCGGCAAGCTGTGTGTATTGGATTGGTGGTAGGTACTCGCCTCTTTCGCCTTGAGGCTGCTTGTTGTCAGGGGGACTGCTGCTGCAACTGGCTGGCAATGTCCAGAAGACCAGTCAACGATCTCGGCGACGAGCTGTTTCGACAGAAGCGCCATTTTACACTAACATGTCCGATATGACAACGACCACGGCGACCGGAGACTTTACGCGACTCGCGTTCGATCGAGCTGCTGACATGGGTAGCCACCACACGCTCACAAATACACTACTCGACTGATCGCACATACACTTTGCCCACCTTCTACACATATATCTAGTATGTATGTACCTATACTTGCAAACGGGCGCTGCTTGCTAGCTATACGCACGCTCCTCCTCCACCTCGTTCAGCCAGAGTTGCCGTGGTCCGTGGAGCTGAAGACTTATTGAGATGTCGTTTCGAGCGCTCAGAATTCAGAGCTCAGACCAACGGTGTGCGGCCTATTTTAACATTAGGTGACGTCACAGGACTAGCGTTCGTAGCACGCACACTCATTGCTCTGAACGCTCGAAGCGGTATCTCAATAAGTCTCCTATCCATCTGCTCACGGCCCATGACTGGATATAACACAGAGTCAATTCTCTCTTTTCCATATCGGATAGAGATCCTTCCGAGAACGTGGTCACTGACCGTCAGTTTCCCTGCGTCATGTACGGAGTAGCCCACACTGGAGTAGCCTTGAATTAAAATTTTAATCTTAATTTATTGCTGTAATTGTAGCCCATTGCTAAGTGCGAATATGCAAGTGAAAATCGATGAGAATCTAATTCTCCAACCTTCAACATGGTAATAGCGATTAGTCACTCAACACTTTTATTAGATTTTATATATATAGGTATGATGATACTATATTACTATATATAGTCACTATGCGCTCCGTTCGATGTGTTCTAGTAACATATAAATAAATATTTATTGTTAACGTATTTTAACCTTTTCTTTTTTACTGCAATCCTAGTCTGTCGATTCAAATCATTTGTTGACTTATCTGAAAAAATTTCAATTTGAACGCTAAAGCATTAATGTATATGAAAATACAGATCGAATGACAGTGAACTTCATTGAGGTCAATAAACAGCTACAACTTTTTACCTGCTTCGTTGAACCTAATATTTGTAATTATGACTTTGAGAACTTTCTATTAGTGAAAAAGGACAGCTTAATTAGCTTACTGTTTATTACTATAAGCTAATCTTGCAATTTCCTGGATAAGTATCTCGGTTAAAACCTCGCTTTTGGAAATGTCTATTTTTCAAAGATATACTATGTCAAAATATTATTGTGTTATTTTAATCATATAATCGATATATATTAATCGATTTTGTACTTGCATTTTTAATATCTTGAACGTCATTTCTTTAGCGCCGTGCTTTCTTCGCCTTAAATTATGAGATATTAATTTTTAGTTATTGGCTCCAAGTGCATTGGGTAGAGTTTACATTTAATTTAAGATATTTGTTTCTTTTCGTCAATATGAGCTATATTTTAAATAGAAACAACTTCAAATTGACAGATTTTATTGACTTTTTGTTAACATTGAAATATATGCGAGGTAAAAATATATTTTTACAAAGATAACTTAAAAAACGAACGAGAATAACAATGCCTCTCGATGAGTGAACTGACTGTAGATTAAAACGAATTATGATTGCGGTATCGAAAAACTCGTCATGTAATTCACTTCTTGTTAGGATGTTAAATATAAAAATTTATTTGTAACCTGTTGCTGACTTGATATGAACATTCAAATCACACATAAAACTCAGCTTGAAGTTATAAAATAGTTTAAACGATCTTTTTAACTGATTTTTACAAAAACATGATCGGTCAAAACACACATACGTGTACATTACTTTTTAGAGGTGGTATAACCGAATTTAGCCGAAACATTAGGTCGAACCATTGTGCTTGGAGCTTTGATAAGAGATGTATTGCCTCGTGTTTGCAATGACAGCGCAGGAGATGAACTTTGGCTCTTGACATCCGGTGATCGTCGTTTTGTCAGCAATACAGAACGTTCAACAACCAGACTACGAGTTTGTGTTGTCTTGCTCGAGGGTACTTTTGAATTGGCCGATGCTGGACGAGGTGCTAAATCAAAAAATAGAATTTCGCATATTAAGAAATTGTCGAAACTACAGTGAACTTTTATCGCAAAAGAATAAAGCGATAAATAGGAAACATGACAAAAAACTAATAAAGTGCGGTAATTAGTAGGTTGTACTGACCTGCAGTCAATGTTGAGGTAAAATTAGCGCTCCTGCGCTGTGTGGTCAGAGTCTTGAGTCCTGGTACCGGGCGTTGGGTCGCACTCATGGAACTGCTCCGATCGCGCATTGCCGGCAAAGTACTAAGTTTCGACGTTACCGTGTTTTTCTGACTCATTGTCGATCTATTGAGTGTAGTATCTACGGGAGTAATCCGACAACTACTCGAAGTCGAAGAAGACGATCGAGAACTGGCATTGCTAACAGTTCGACTGACCATACTGCTGGCACGAACACGAGGACTACTAGCACAAAAACTACTGTTCATTGCCGATGGTGGTGCTGGTTTGACGAAATTTCCGTCATCTGAAACAAAGCGAGACATTCGAACTTTTCATTATGATGCTGTTTTTTGGGTGAGGTAATTACCTTGAGACATCGACTGATTGGGTAGCTTCTTGATGATTACGTTCACGGCCTTGTCGAGAATTTGATGGGCCTTCACCACATAGTCGGCCAAACCTAGATTCTCCTCTTCGCTTTGCAGGGATATTTGACCAAGTGAGGTGCACAGTTGATTTAGAACAGGTGAACTTGCGAGCTTTGGTGGTGATGGTCGTGGCTCTTCCATGCTCTCGTCCTCCAAATCGTAAGTTCCTTGCCGCTTCAATTTTGGCTTCTCCAAGACTCCGAAACCTTTGATACTTTTCGAAGACGATATGCATTTTGCATTTGCAAGGTTCTATGAAGAAAAATGCACAACCAATTTACAATCCAATCACTGACAATCATCTAGGAAAATACTTACTGAATTCAGTTTTACCAAGGTACGAGGTTTCTGATCACAAAGATCGGTGTAACTCCGTATAAGCCCTTCTCTGACCTCAGAGTTTTTAGTAATCGTAGTGTTCACCCCTTTAATGGGTGAGTTCGCGTTCAAATCTAGAGATTGATCATCATCACAGTTGTTGATGATCTTTATGAGCCTGTGAACAACGTCACGTACTACAGTTGTAGTTTCCTTCGACATATCCGGCAAAAGACTGCTTCCCGTTTCTTCAAATTTGTTTATGTTGTCCTGTGAAGTTCATAAAAAACACCGAGCTTATATTTTTGTTGAAGTAATTTAATTAAAGGTACTTTACCATGCTACTCATGGGTCCAGTTCCTGTAATACTCCACAATGACCCTTCATTGGCTTCATTATTATCTCGGCATTCGCACTTGACATCGTCCATCTCGAGAACAGCAGTCATTTTGGATGTGCCACATTCCACTGTTATTCGGATGTTATTACTTTTTAGTTCATCGTTCGTGACGATTACTTGATTACGTTTGTCAAACTCTCGAAGTTTGAAACCGGCTGCTTGTAACAAGCAAATTATACTTGGAATGTCGAATTTTCTCGTAGTCTGTTGAATTTCAAATATTTCATCTTTATTATTTTTTTGTCATAGTTTTTCAAAATAAATTAAAGATTAATATTTTCAATCCAAATTGAAAAAAAAAAAATACACGCGACCTTGTCAAATCGCATCTTAGCTTTTTCACGATGATACGTTTTCTTTATCGATACTTGCAAATTCTTAATTATAATTCCAACAATATGATTTGCACTAACGTATATGAAACAATATATATAAACTACTTGAGTATATAATAATCAATAAATGAAGTTGAATCGTAACCATAAAAAATATAAGTGGTTGTTTTTACATTCAATAGTTATTCATGCGCAATTCCATAGATTTACTCCAATTTATAATGCTCTATATTACATGTTTGTAGGTATGTTATTTTTCTTTTAGGAAAATTGAATTGAAGTTTCACGAAATGTGATTAATTTTGTAATGACAACAAAACACATCAATAATTTTTGTACCAGCATGTGTACTGTTATGATTTCTTCAAAACAGTAAATTAATTAACTCAACTAAGGTATCGAACCGCAATCACTGTAATAATTCACCAATCTATAGTTACTCACGTCTTCAGGCACATTAGCGTAGAACCATTTAACGGCCCATTGGAAAAAGTTTCTGCGACTGGTTTTTGGAGCCAGTGTCGATGTCGAGCCTGTCTTATCCATTGCAATTGACAAAATCCAATAAATCTTTTCAACTTGACCCGCAATGGATATCTCTCTTTCTCCTTTCAGTAATAGAAACTTTTTCACACGACGTACGAGTATATTCAGACACGCACATCCCCTGCCGACATACTGTAGAGATTCGAAATAGCAAGTCGTCTTTGTTGATGTTTACATTTTTTTCAAACATACGTTGGGGGCGTTTGTTCCTTTTAAATTCGCTCAACGTGCTCGAATTAACGAATCAGAGCAAAGTTGGTCGTCATCGTAGCTTTGGAACGGTTATTCCCTTTCTATATACGGTTCGATTCTCTTTCGTCCGATTCTTATTTCACGTATGTTTCGTGCTGTGACTGCTGTACTCTCGATCTCATTTAATCGTCTGCCCGGCAACGATTAATTTTCTAAAAAAATATATTGTACGTACTGTTCAGTGAAACTGGATAATAACTTTGTAGTGAACTAACTGAAAAAAATGTTTGCTGCTAGACGTGCACTTGTAACCACTGCCCTGTAAGTTAATTTTCATTTAACTCATACAGGGTTTTCTAAGAAAGAACACAACTCTATAATCACCGCAATTATTATGTAATTCCTAACCTACTTCTCATGAATTAATAACAATATATTTCTTGATTTTAGTCGAAGTAAGGAGGCTCTGGTTCGAGCTAAACATACCTTGCCAGATCTGCCCTATGATTACAAGGCCCTTGAGCCAATCATTTGTGCTGAAATTATGCAGCTTCATCATTCCAAGCACCATGCTACCTACGTTAATAATTTGAATATTGCTGAAGAAAAGCTAAAGGAGGCTGTAGCTAAAGGAGATGTTAATACTCAAATTGCATTGGCTCCAGCTATTAAATTCAATGGTGGAGGACATCTTAATCACTCAATTTTCTGGAGCAATTTGTCTCCCAATGGAGGCAAACCAGATGGTAGCATAAATATAAGATTTCCTTTCATAATATATTCAAATCAAAGTATTTATTATAAATATATCATGCAATATTTTTCAGGTGCTCTTTTGTGCCAAATGGAAAAAGATTTTGGTAGTTTGGAAGAAATGAAGAAGAGATTATCTGAATCTACTGTTGCCATCCAAGGTTCTGGTTGGGGATGGCTTGGTTACAATCAAAAAGAAAAAAGACTACAAATTACAACTTGTGCTAATCAAGATCCTTTGCAAGCTACTACTGGATTGGTACCACTGTTTGGCATTGACGTATGGGAACATGCTTATTACCTACAGTACAAAAATGTTCGACCAGACTATGTTAAAGCAATCTTTGATATTGCAAATTGGAATGATATTAGTGCTCGATTTAAGAATGCAGGAGGTTGTTAATTAAAATTTTTGGACATTTAATGACTTCATATTAGCGTTATATACAAAAATTTATTGCTGCACTTTTATGATTCCAAGAGTTATTGCTTTTATTATAAGTTTTATAAAACCTGTGATTATTTCAAATAGTAGTTAAACTACATTGGTACATGTAAACTTTCATATTAGATTCATATTAAAAATTTGCTATAATATTTTGACTTATATTTTGATATGTATCCATTATATAATCTGATTATCGTTAAAAGTGACGTTTTTTATTTTTTTTGTCTCAAAAGTTTGATAAGCAAACCAATTCTCCCAAAGACCCAAGACAGATCTAAGACAGACCTCTAAAAGACAAAACTAAATATTTTCTAAATGTATTGTAAAAACAAACTTGTTTAATTCCAGTAATCATATAATTAATGATATTGTAAGTGTAATCAAACAAAATATTGAATCACGTGATATTTGAAAATTCGCGGCAAACTAAACTTGTAAAGGAATACTATAGCAGAGGAATATGGACTTTGAATCTTTAGTATGGCCGATAAACCTCAGCTGTTGTATCATTGCTTCTCTGTTATCTGGTAAGTGAAAAGGTCATTACAATGTTTTTCAGTATAATTACAATGATAAACTATCGCAATCTTCATTATTGATATTATTTGAAACTCGTATGATTTCGCGTGGTCCATTTACTCTCTTCTTTGTTTACGTCAATAACGCCACAAGTGCATCTTAATGTTTTGTATTCTGCTAGGGGACGCGTTGAAGTGTCAGATGTTTGATTAATTCATCAGTTTTGAGTAGAAGAAAGTAAAAAAAATGACGAACTTTCTTTTGAAAATTTGTTACTATTAAAATCTGCTGAGAATAATTCATTAGTAATTTCTTCTTCCGATATATTGCCATTTACGAAAGCGAAATTTCCCTTATATACTCGGATGTAAATAATGTAATCGAATAAGTTCTGTACGCGTAGCGTTTGGCATGGCTCATGCTGATACTAAACTTTTTCCATTCCAACTATATGAGATTGTGATGATGCGTGAATACGTTTTTCCATATATGATAAAATTTTGAAAAAGAACCTTGCATAATGTTAGTAAAGTGGAATGTTTGAATCATATCTTGATATGTTTATTAAGATTTTGATATTTTATTATAACTTTTAATATACTAATGATTCTCGTGCACTGCGCGAGTTTATCTTTTTCGTATTTTTTCACGTTCAATTTGGCGAAATTGAAAATTAAAAAATTCAGTACGCATTAAATATTCCCATGATTTGATATGAGATATAGCCGACGGTATTATTTATTGGTAAATAAATGTGCAGTTATATACGTCTAAAATTCTGTATTGAAAAAATCATCAAAATCATCAAAAGTCTCAAAAACACGATAAAAAATACGGTTTCACTTTGTCAAGTTCTTTTTTAAAAGTGAATATTTAATTGTCAACAATACTTTCTCCGATACAATTTATTTTTAAATTCACTGTTTTGCAATAAAGAATTCAGTATTTGTGTATTACAGTTGCTTGTGTTAGAAATGATTGAGTGAGCTTCTTTAAACCAATACATAATAAAATTATGTATCGATTACCTTTTATTTACCATACCATTCTTATGTTAAAATGTTAAAAACGGTCTCTCATATAACTACTCATCTCATATAAAATAAAACCATTGCATCAACGTTTTAATGCTGAAGTGTAGTAAATATTCAAAGTAGATAATATGCACAAGGTCGCATTACATATTTCAATGGCTTGGTAATCGTTAACTTTATTGATCCCGCAAACATCCGTCAATTGAAATAGCGTCGAAGTCTCAGTCAAGCTTCTGGAACGAAATTCTTCATTTCCAATTTATTCGCAAGTCGATAATGAAAATCGGTTCGTTTGAACATTTGAGGTTCGCAAAACTCAAAAATTGATTATTCATGCAGTTACACTGACATTTATGTCCCATTTGTTTTTATACTACTTTGTTTATAGTTGCATCGACTGGTTCATTAGCGACGATTACGACTGATTGTTATTCATAAAAAAATAAATATAACCATTAATGTTATTCTTGCAGTGAACTCATTATAACTCGAGTTGTGATGAATATGTGCTTACAAAATAAACAAAATAAGCAACTTTTGGGATTGTTTTTAATAACCTAGGCTTCAAACTTTTTACGAAGTAACTTTCATTCCTCACATTGAAATAGAAATTACTTTGTTAATTTTAACCACAACACTGCTTTTTAAAGTTTTTCAACTCACATTGTAAACATGCGAGCGGGCACATACGCGTGCATCGCTACATCGCAGTCCATCGTAAAAGTCTTGTACTATTCCAACTTTCTTTTTACTACCATACCTTTTCGTCAATAAACTTGGAATGCACCGAAACCGTTATACCCAAGGTGTATAGATATTGGGATATTGAAGTACGCATCTTTCCCAATTATACAACTCTTGAAAATTGGATGATTTTAAAATGAAATTGTGGAATTACGCATTTTTCGAACCACAAACTAAATGGCATGAAAGATGCTTTTTTTTGACAGTAAATTTATTGGAATTCGTTTTTTTACGGGAATTGGAAGAAAAACTTTTACGGACGATAACGTTATTGTAAAATTTATGTTTCCATTTTTATTTTTGTGATTATTGTAAAATATCACTGGTTGGGTTACATCTCTCAAAGTAAACAAATATTTGCAAGATAGATGGGCAATTTATTTTGCAAGGCGTCGTTAAAAATAAAAAGTTTTTTTTCTTTCATTCGATGAAATTATATTTACAGATAACCGAGTGAGTGAGTGGCCTCTGTTAAAGGAAACAATGAATTCTAATATAATATGAAATCATAAATTTATCATGGAAAAATGTCTATTTCTTTCCACCTCTGCATTTTGCCACCGAAGAAGCTTCCCGTCGTAACTCTCTCCACTGCTTTCTCGGAAATCATTGTGTAGAGGCCATTGAACGATGCGTCGACTCGTATTTTCGTCATTCTACGAGTCACAGGGCGCATAACGACGCAAAGGGACGCGCGAACAAATAGAGCATGGAAACAAGGAGCAGAACCAAAAGCGTCGCAATTATCGGGTAGCGAGGTGCTTCGCCCTCGCGAGTGTCGCCTTTTGTTTCGGCGAGAGTTCCATGCATTTAGTCTCATTAATGATTCGACGTGTGCAGCGAGCACTCGAGGACGAGGCTACACCGCTTGCCGTGGAAGCGCCACGCAGGGCAGTCGAAAGCTCGCTCGTGTGCAGCGGCGCACGTAAACTGTCGGTGCAGAGGGAGCAGAAGCTACCGACAAGTTCGTGCTTGGAAAGGCGATCACCCGTCTCACTTCCGTTTTTTTTTTTCTACAATTTTGCTTCTCTGCCCTGTCCCGACCTATAAAATATTCCGCTGGATTTACTCGCTAAAGATTGTTTGGCAGTCGCGGTCGGTCGAACAACTCGGCCGCGCCTGACCAAGCGTCGCGCTGCTCCACGCGTTGGCCTGCGTATAAATCTTCGAAAGGCGACGAGCCGCACACGCCGATAAATGCAGACGTGTCTCGCGGCGACGGACGCGGAAACGAGCGCGTCGGACAGCCGACAGTCGGGGAGCTCGCGTTGCTTATTGATAAGAGGCAGATCGGAACGAAGAGTAGGAGAGATCGATAGTTGGCACATCCGTCGCGGGAGACACGAGAGGTGGCATTCCCTCCGACGCGGCCCCGCGAGCGCGTGTGTGTGCACGCGTTTGCGTTTCTCGCCGGTCGACCTTGAGGCCTTTCGACCGTTTTGTCGCGCCGAACTCACGGCGCCGCGACCCCGATCCCGTGCTACGCGTCTCGCTCCCTCCTTGACCGTCGCCGTCCTTGCTGCGCTGTCCTAAGCAGCATTCTCGCCTAATCGAGCCCGTCTCCCGTCCTTCGCCGCGCGTTTTTTCTTCTTCGAGTTTTCCGCTTTACACCCGACTGCTACTATACGACATTTCTCTCCGATGCAACTTTCACTCAAGCTGTTCCATTGAATTCATCACAGAGCTAACCGTAAGTTGACTCTGACGCGTCGCTACGAATCGTATTTAAAAGCACTTGGCAATTGAACGGTAACTCGTTAGAATTACTTTCAATAACTCGAGCACTCGACGTCGTCTAATTGGACAAGTAAAAGTAAACTTGTGAAAGGCTACTCGGCCTTTGAACGATAGACGCTGGCAAAGACGTATGAGAGTGGCACCGACGAAAAGGAAGAACGTCCGCAAATAAACAAAAAAAAAATGGCAAACCTTACGAGTCGCTCCGCAAGCTTGTCTTTCTCATATATGGCGCAAAGCTCGGACTAACACGCTCGCGACACCGTGGAAATTGCTGGTTCGTGTACGAGTAATAAATTATCGCGGCGCCTCGTGGGATACGGCCCCGGAGAATGCGACCGGCCAGTCTCGCCTCTGGCAAACTTGGCGGCAGCCAGCGCGACCTCAGAACTGCCGTCGTCGCTTTTCCTTTTTTTTTATTTGCTTGTCTGCTTGTCAGCGCGTTCTCTGCTCGCCGATTGTCTCGCCTTGCTGATTGTGCCGCGCGTCTTTTTTCAGCGAGCTGTCGATTTACAATACGAGATCTCGCGGAAGCGCTCAAGAAAACGCATTATTTTCTAATAGTTGGAACTTGCGGACTGTGATTATTGCACTGTTCTCGTATCGTACAATTGATTCTCCTAAGTGAAGTATATATTTGAATTCATAATTATATTTTACAGACTGTACCCAAGAACAAAAGTCTAGGAAGGAGATATCGAGCTTGGCAACAATTCCAATGGACTGTATTTTGTACTAGCGATTTTTCGCGGTGAGTCATAAAGAAAGCTTAACTTCATTCATTTGAAGCGTTTGCAAGTGCAGAACAAATTTACCGTGATCTTCCTGTTACCCCATTACGTTACATTTCTAAAACTTGCCCTTTCCCCATTAAATTAGGCAACAACCGCTTCATAATCGGTCGCTCGTACTATGAATAATTTCAATAAGTGCAATGTGCAGCAAAGTTATTACAATGATAAGTGCACTTCTAATCTTGAAGTTTATAAAGCACCGTTTCAAAATTAACGTCGGCATTGAGATCAGCTTGCACGAGATGTTAGGCGTTTCTGAAAGTCGAGGAGTGAAGATTAAGAGGTGATTGATGAAATATAATACGAAGTACGCGTACGTCATCTTTGCGCCTTTGAGAAGCTTTCCTCTCTGTGGCGAATGCCTGTCCA